TAGAGGAAGCAATGGCTAAGCCTGACGAGCCGGAGGCTCAGGCCCTGATCCAGTCGATCACGCGCCAAGCCGCGGTAATCAGGGGGCACCCGGCCGTATTGGTATAAACAAAGGAAGGAATTGGAAGCATGTGCCTATAACCTAGGCAGGCCTGGCCTTTTCGTTACTGCAAGTGCAGCTGATTACCACTGGGAGTCCCTGTACCGTCATATGCCTCGATTTAACGAGTGGCAAGCAGCTCCTGAGGCGGCCCGGATGGCCCTGTCCCGGCAACTACTGCGAGACAACGCCCACATCGCCGCTTACCACTTTCATAAGCGGTATACGCTTTTTAGAACCATTGTGCTGAAGCAGAAGTTTAACCTGACGGACTTTTGGGGTCGCTACGAGTGGCAGGGTAGGGGGTCCAGTCACCACCATGGCCTGTATTGGTTGAATGGCCACCCAGACTTGGATCCTGACGATGATCAGTCCCGGGAGCGATTTGCCCGTATCTGGGGATATCACGTATCTGCTGTCAACCCAGAGCCTCAACGAATACAGGCGCCCGGGGAAGGGAATCCCCTGATCATCAATCTATTACAGCAGCCACTTACCGTTCAGTTTCTATCCATGGTAGTCAACCGCGTGCAACGCCACCGCTGCAACAACTACTGTATGCAGCTCAATAAGCATACCAAGCGGGTAGAGTGCCGCTTTGGATTTCCTCACGACCAGCGCCTACTAGCCTCCCTTGACAAGGCTCCTCACTCCAAGCACTGGAGCTTCAGGGTGAGAGGAACGATGGTCAGATTAACCACTACAACCGCTTGCTCACCGTTTCATGGCTAGCCAATACAGATGTTTCGCCCTGCACGAGCCTCCAGCAGGTGATCGATTACGCAGCCAAATACTGCTCCAAGTCGGAAAAGAAGAGCGAGTCTTTTGCCCAGATTGGGAAGGCGCTGATGCCCCGGGTCAAGGACCACAACCCCCTGGTTTCCTTCACGTCAAAGCTCCTGAATCAGCTAGTTGCTGAGCGGGATTACTCGAAGCAGGAGGTTAGCCACTTACTCCTCGGCCTGCCGTTACAGGAGGGCTCACGAACCTGCCTGTACGTTGACTGCCGTCATCCTGACAGGCATTCCCGCTCCCTACGTATTGACGGCGGTGAGGTTGACGAGGCCCCCAACGTCTACGAAAAGTATGGTCGACGCCCGGAAGCCCTGAAGGACCTGACCTTCGTTTCCTTCCTCAAACACTGGAATTTCCGCTCTGGGACTCTTCCACATGGAAGCAATGGCGGCCAGGCAACGTTAATGGCAGGCCTCGTGTGTTGGTTTACTTTCCTCGCTATCAGGTTGATCCAGAAGGACAACAGTGGCCAGATTACTGCCGTGTAAAGCTAACATTAAACCACCCACATCGCCGCCTTGATGAGCTCCTCACCTTTGACAGCCAGCTTTTAGTTCTCACGTTGAGGCTTTCTCCTATTGTTGGCAGCACCACAGTCATGGTGATGACCATTACGGCCGGCCAAAAGAGGCTCGATTACAGCCTCAAGAGGATCAATACGAGGCTCTGCCTGTGGAGGAAGAATTTGATGACGAAGACTGGATTCGCCTCGCCGCTCTTTTACCTGACAACCCCCTTACCCAGGAAGGTCTCGACCTACTTGGCCGCCGCGATATCGACGTCAATTACGACTGGACACGGCATGTAGGTACTTATCCGGAACTTCGAGACGGTTACTGGAAAGACCTAATCGCTAGCCACCCTATGGCCAACGATGTGGAGGTCCTTGGCCTCACTGGCGTGATCGGCTGAACCCACAACAACGGCTCGTGTATGACACATTTATGGGTCACTTCCAGGCGCAAAATCCTGCTCAAATCCTTCTTCACGTTGATGGTGGTGGTGGTACAGGCAAGTCATTCCTTATCAAGGTGCTTTCCTCCCATCTCCAGGCAGCCGCCCTACCGAATCCTAGTCCTATTTGCCGTGTTGCGCCAACAGGCGTTGCGAGTAACCAGATACAGGGCAGTACCATTCATTCGTTGCTACGCCTCCCGGTAGGAGGTACTTTTACCGACCTTCCCCCAGCCGACGCAGCCGCCCTTCAGTCCCGCCTACGGCACGTCAAATACCTCGTTATCGATGAAAAGAGCATGCTAGGGCTTGAGCAGCTCGCGCGGATCGATTCCCGTCTGCGGCAGGCCTTTCCACAGCGTAACCTCGAGTTCTTTGGTGGGGTGAGCGTCTTGCTTGTGGGCGATTTCTTCCAGTTGCCACCAGTCCGGCAGAAGCCCCTGTATTCGACTAGCACCGGCCTGTCTTCGTTGGAAAGGAGAGGGCAGGTGGCCTACCGGTTATTTGACCGCACCGTCTTCCTGACCACGGCACAGCGCCAGGCTGGTGATGATCAGGCCCAGTTCCGTCAGGCGTTGCAGGAACTGCGTGAAGTCAAGTTATCCATACCGTCCTGGAACCTCCTTAGCAATCGGGTACAGGCCAAACTAACGCAGAGCGAGGTTGACAGCTTCGGGGCCGCTTTGCGGGTGTATTCTACAAAGGCCAGGGTCAACGAATACAATTACGAGCATATGGTGCATCTCAACGCCCCGGCAATGCAGGTGGAGGCAAAAAATCAGGGCAAAGGCGCGGGGCAGGCACCAAGCGACAATGCTGGCAATCTATCTAACAAGTTCCCTGTTGCTAAGGGCGCCAGGGTAATGCTCACAACTAACCTATGGCAGCCAGCTGGCCTAGTTAACGGCGCCCAGGGTACTATATACGATATCGGCTGGAACACAGGCGCCGAACCATTGGAAGATCCCCCAGCCGTTATTATGGTGGACTTTGATGGCTACGACGGACCGCCATATCTAACAACTAACGAAGGCAGGAAAATCTCACCCATCCTGCCAGTCAGGCGTGATTTCTAGTGGGCAACGAGACCTGCGCTCGCACGCAGTTTCCCCTGATGGTGGCGTTTGCTATCACGGTTCACAAATGCCAGAGCCTAACGAAGGATCAAATAGTTACTGACCTCGCTACACGCGACTTCCAGGCCGGTATTAGCTATGTTGCTGTGTCACGGGTTACGTCGCTGCAAGGCTTACTCCTTGAGGCGCCTTTCGATCGCCAGAGCCTCTATAAGTACACGCCGACAGAAGGTTTATACGCCTGAGTTTCCTACGTACCGCGTTCACGGCTAACTACAAGGCAGGGATGAAGATGCGCCTCGCTGACCAACAACGGCGTCAGACTCAACAGCTGACCAATCCACCGTATACACCACTCTACCTTGACTAAACGGCGTCTTCCTATAAGCTACCGGGAAGGGGGAGATTCGATATACGGTATGTAGTTAGATTGGGCCTGTCAGGAAGCAGTAGAGAGATTATTAGGCTGCAGGTTGAAGCGGTTTAAACAGCATGTTGCCCGCGGCAGGCGAGGGGGGTTCTAGGGGGTCCCCCCCTAGGAAAGTTCAATTACAGGTATACGATGTTCACCCTTCGGGCTGGATATTCAGCCGTTAAGCCCCTTGCCTTGGCAACTTAACGGGTGTTCGAAGTATTTTTGCTTTCTCGGCTCTTTTAAGGGGGGATGGGTCGTTATTTCTCCAAAAAGTGACTAACGAAGCCAGCGCCATATCATGCGCAATAAGAGCAATGGCCGTCTCTGGAGGCAAAAACAAGATGAGGATAAGGCGAGCCGTCCCGTTGGGCCTCATATGGCGCCCTCGCAAGCGGGATTAGCTAATGGTCCAGTCTGCAAGCAATACGATTGCAAAACCAGCGTTTTTTCTGGCGAACTCGGCCGCTTTCAGCGCTTTCGGGAGCTCAGCGCCGCCCAAGTCAGCGGTCAAAGTCTTCCTCACCGACTCGTGAACAGGAAATGAGGGCTCTGACGATACCTCTCGCAATAAAATGAGGGTAGGAGTCAATCTTTTTCATTGTCGTCTATCTAAACTGAATGTGAGAAGTTCTGTCTTCTTATAGTCCTGAGGGAATGTGACTGCCTTGCGGTGGCGAATTTGCCACTTGCCACCCAGGCTGCTTTGTGATGCTATCTAGAAAGTTCCATCTCGTCGCTTAACAATCGCGCGTTTCATCATGCGTATCCTGAATGCGACAATACCTGTATCGCCCGATCGGGCAGAAGATCTCCAGAGCTCCGCCGGCGACGAATCGAACGTTCTGCTTATCGATCTCATAGCCGAAATGAGGCGGGTGAATGGGAAACTCAATTTGGTACTTCAGAGTATGGACTTCGCCGTTGCGAATTGGGTCGCAGTGTAGCAGCAGCGCCACGCACTCTATCGGATTATTCATGGAAGGGAGATTCTTCCACTCATGAGGTAGAAAACCGAGAGTCTTTCGTGGCACGTTTCACTCGCATCTGGCGATGGGGTCCTAGATGATGACGAGGCAGAGCGACTGAGGCACTTCTTCAGAGAGCAAGTCGAAAAGAACCGAAGTGAGCATGCGCGACCGAGACCGAGACAATATCCCAGAAATTTTCGTACAGGACGATCGACATGTATGTATGTATGTGTATTTTTCGTCCAGCGGCCGTGAGGCCGCTCAGGTCCCGGTGGGGCACAGGACGTGCTGAGCTAGGGCTGTCTACAGTTTCCCCTCGCAAACGTAAACAAACCACCATCCAGCATTTCATCGGCTCTGAGGCGCTCCGTGTTGAACCTGGTGCCCGTCAGCGGGTCGTACAGGCGCGGCAGTGAGATTGCCATTCAGTTTTGGTCTCAAGGGACCGTTGTCGGAGACTGCAGAGCGCAGCCTCAGTTGACCCGGCCGGGCAAAGGGTGTTGCAGCACCCTCTGCCTGGCCGAATCCGGGGGGAAGTTGAACAAAGGAAAGAGGTGAGGGAAAGATGATACAGCCGCCTAGTGGCGAGGGCAAGCCCATTCAAAGAAGGAGGTCGCCTTCGCCAGCTTGACGAATCTGTCGAAGTCTCTGCCTATTGCGCGATTGACTGCTGCAGTCGGTGAGGTGTCAGCCTCATCCGATGCCGCGGCTCGATCTTTCGGCAATAAAAGACATGGTTTGGCTCTTTCGTCGGCCACATGAGCACGTCAGTCGCGCATCGTCGTGGTTGAACCTCTCGTGGTAGTCGGCAAAGTCCCCGTGACGGGTTCGGGCTGCAAGCAAGTGGTGGAGTAGCGGTCGGGGAGTTTGAGCTCCGGGGCAGCCGGTCGTCGGCAGGTGCAGTGGCTTGTACTGTTCGGGTGCAGAGGCTTCCCACCAGGCTTTAAATGCACTTTTAGGCTGCTGCCTAGCAGCCCTGCGCAGATATGCCAGTGTCGGGACAGCGCCTGCGGGCTCGGGTTGAGAGGTTCCTGCTTTCGCTAAGGCATCGGCCTGCTCGTTGCCTGGGATGCTGGTGTGGCCGGGGATCCAGCGGACCTCCGTGGCACCGTGTGCTGTGGCCAGGGCCTGGAACTCGAGGAAGACATCCTGGGAGGAGTCTGCCGGCATGCCTCTGAGGCATGTTGCCGCCGCGATGTTGTCGAGACAAACGACTACCCTCTGCGATCGTGGGAGGCTTAGGGCAGCGCGCAGGCCCTCGAGCGCGCCTTTCGCTTCTGCATCAAAAACCTCAGCGGGCCCAAGTCGGCCGCAGCCACTTAGGACGGTTTGCCCATCCAGATGGATGGCATAGCCATAACCGACCGCTGCATCCGAGGAGAGCGATCCGTCTGAGTAGACGACCAGAGTGTGTGGTGGCACTGACCGGAGCCAAATGCGGAAATCCGCTGCTGACTGGTCTTTCGGGGCGGTTTGCAGAGGCAGCGCCTGATCGTCGCCGAAGCGGCGAGGGAGGAGTGGCCGCCTGCTGCAAGGCAGCAGCTGGTCACTGCGTCGAAGTCGGGTCCGGAAGCCTTCTCGCGGCACCTGGTACTTCAGTTTGATCGACCTGTGGATGACAGGGGCTTGGGCCGGACTGTACGTTTCGCAAGCGGATGGGCTTCATCGAGAGACTTGAGGCGGGCCGCGAAGCGCATGCGACGCCCTCGAGCAGTTGTATCACCGGTGGAATGCCGCTCTCGATGGAGGGCATTGATCGGCGTCGTCCTCCAAACAGGCAGGATGGCTCGGATGGATGTGTGAAGCGACTTGTTCATCTTTCGGATGAGTTGCTGTATCCCGGATGGTCCTTCTTTTGCTGGCTGGGTCCATCGCGGGCTGGTTAATCCGGGGTACCATGCCTCGGTGCCGTGGAGCAGCACCGGTTCGATACATGCTCTTACGGCTCTGCGAACGGCACCGGGAAGAGGACCATGTTTGGTGTTTGCCAGACTTTTCAAGTGATAGGCCACGACCTGTGCCTTGGCTGTCCACTTTTCCACGTGTGTCTTGAACGACAGGGTGCTGTCGAGCCAGATGCCTAGCCATCGCAGTGCTCGGTCAGGGCGCTTCTCTGAGTCGCCGTGAAATATAACGTACCCCACTGCGTCATGCAACGCACTAGGTCATGCAACAATTTTCAACACCTGACGCGTCTTCTTCAGATTGACGCGATATGGACCACAACACTCGTATTGCAGAGGCAATTATAGAACTGCAATCCCAAGATCGCCCTAAATATGCAGAGACCGCGAGGAAATACAATATCGACAAATCCACGCTGTGGCGCCGCTTCAAAGGCAAAACAGCCTCAAATCACGACGCGAACTCTTACTCGCGACAGAAACTCACCAGCGCGCAGGAGGAGATTCTTATTGGGCACGTCAATAAGCTGACCGACCGTGGTATCCCGCCTACCCTCAGATGTTGAAGAATATCGCCGAGGAAATCGCAGGGACAGAGCTTGGTGTCAACTGGGTGAGCCGCTTCCGCAAGCGACACCATGACCGTCTTTCGAGCTTGTATTTGCGCACCATAGATCATCAGCGGAAGGCTGCTGATAATTCCAGGCATTTCAAAACTTCTTCAATCTAGTAAGACTGCTTTTATCGTCATTTCAAGGGTATACTGCCGACAATACTCGGTCAAATGCCGTAAAGTCGCCATTTCTGACCGAATCCAACTAGCTCCGCGAAAAGATCGAAAAGTACAACATCAGTCCTCAAATGTTTATAATTTTGACGAGAAGGGATTCCAAATTGGTCTCTCTCGCTCCACCAAGCGAGTTGTCCCCCGAGAAGCCCTCAGGCGCGGAAAACTGGTCGGGGCAAGCCAAGACGGGAACCGGGAGTTCATCACGCTGATCGCTGCCATATGTGCAGATTATTCGTACCTGCCACCGGCCCTCATTTACAAAGGAGTCAAAGACTTCCAAGATACTTGGCTTGAGGATTTTGACCATTCCAGCGAAGTAGCCTTCTTCGCCAGTACGGAAAACGGCTGGAGCTGTGACGCACTGGGTTTACACTGGCTTCAGCGCATATTTGACTGCCATACGAAGCAAAGGCTGGTCGTGCCTACCGTCTCTTAATTTTAGACGGTCACAATAGTCACATTAACCTGAAATTCATTGACTATGCCGATCGGAATCGAATTCTCATTGCTGTGTTGCCATCGCACTCAACTCATCGGCTTCAACCACTCGATGTTGGCCTGTTTTCCGCACTCTCCACCTATTATGCTCAAGGTTCCGACCAGCTGATGTCCATTGGATGGGGTTTAATTCGCCTTACCAAACGGAACTTTTGGCCACTCTTTCGTGATGCGTGGAACCAGGCATTTACGGCCAAAAATATCGAGGCTGGTTGGCGGGCCACAGGAATCCATCCACTCGACCCCGGCAAAGTATTGTCCAAGATTAGCCACAGCAGTGATGTGACACCCCCACAAACTGCATCTGAGGAAAGGGCGATGAAGACTCCAGGCTCTCTTCGGGCTATTCGGCGCATTACCCGCCGTCTCCGCAAGGAAGGGCCGATGGACTCCCGAGTCACAGCGCTCTCCCGAGCATCAGAGAAACTGGCGACACAATATGAGCTCGTACAACACGAAAATCGAGATCTACAGGAAGCGCTCAAACTTGCACATAAAAAAGGGAAACGCAGAAAGGCCTTGGGCCTTTTCAATCCAGAAGAAAGTGGTGGCCAGCCGGTCTTTTTCAGTCCAGCCAAGGTGGAACTGGCGCGGCGACGTCAGACGGACAAGGCACAGGCCGACGAGCAGCGCAAGCAAGCCATTGAAGATCGTCGACTCCAGGTAGCCATATCACGTGAAGAAAAGGCTCGAGAATCTGCCGAGAAGAAAAACAGCGGGCTGCAATGCGTCAGGCCTTGCGAGAGCAGCGTTCTCGAGAGAAGACAGAGCGTGCTGCGGAGCGCGAGGCAAAGCGAGCTGAGAAACGGGAGGCCGCAGCAAAATTAAAAGCAGAGAGGTCTGCACGCGAGGCTGAACGCCAGGCTATTCGGGAAGTCAAGTTTGAGGTAGCTGCTACGTCAAAGCCTGGTGTAAGAGGGCACAAAAGACATGGTAGCGGTGAGAAAACGAGGGCGTTGGAAGCGGGTTTGCGCGACGGGCATTCAACCACGCAACAACTCGGAGGAAGAAAGGGTAAAGATTGGTTCTGAAGCTTCAGTGGCTCGAGACCACAGTCCCGGAGTATACCTCCCGTTCGACGGAAGCGCAGGGAAGTATGGAGGCCGGTTTCTCAGTCTCTCAGGTCTGGGCGGACCACAAGACCGCCTGCTCATATTTCCTAAGAAAACCATCATATAGATAGACTCTGTATGAAGTGTTTCACATAATTGTAATGTTTAATAGTATTTTAAATGGTTGTGTCGGTTGCAGGATTAATTTTCGCTCTGGCTTGCCGGTCGGGCAATTTGTTGCATGACGTGGTGCGTTGCATGACTCAGTGAGGTACGTTAGGCGGGGCAACTTTAGGTTTGCTTCGACAGAAATGCATGACCTCAGTCTTCATCGGGTCGAAGGCGATGCCGTTGGCGGCGCCCCAGGCCACAAGTTCGTTTACATAGCGCGACGCTCTCTCGGCTGTCTTCTCCAGGGAGTTACCTATGCATAGGATACCCGTGTCGTCTGCGTAGCCGAAGCGCCCCTTCGGCTTCCCTAGGCGGTAAATTGGTTCCGTGTACAACAGAAAAAGGATGGGCGAGACTGGTGATCCCTGGGGGAGGCCGCATTGGAGAGGCGAGCTGGGCGTGGTAGTGTCCTGGTATCTGACGCGCGCCGAGCGGTCATGCATGAAAGAACCAGCCCATCGAGCGAGATGTTCTGGCCACCCCTGCTCACGGAGGCGAAACAGGACGATCGACACCGTGGTGACACAGATAGTGCAGGGTAACGTCCCATATGTTCGAAAGTACCTTGGGACCCATTCCGATGCGAAAATCTTTCTGCATGGAGTTGACTCATGGGACGGGCTGCTTAGCGAGGCGTCCGATGATGAGGACGAGAAGACAAGCTTGAGGGAAGCCGCGGTGGAGATATCTGGGACGACTGCTCTGCACATGGCTGCGTGCGAGCAGTACCCTAAGACGGTTGACCTTCTTCTCTCCAAGGGTGCCGATGCGAACGCCGCAGACATCAACGGCCGCACTCCTCTCATGGAGGCAGCTTTGTGGGGCCGCCTGCAAACGTAGAGATCCTATTGAGGCACGGGGCCGACAAGTTTTGGCATGCATCGAGCGGGACCGTCTTATGCTCCCTGTCGACTTTGCGAGACCGCTGAGGAGAAAGCACAGTCCCGACGGTCATGTGAAGGTGGCTCTTCGAGCGCTGAGTACATGGAAAAGGAAGAAAGGAGTCCGCTAAATGAGTGAAGGTGACTTAATGGATATCATGTGATCCAGAGTGCAACACGCGGCGAAATCAGAAACCAGTATGGCTCAAGGGCAACAAGTGCGGAGACTGCTGTCGTGATTGCTGGTGTTTACGCCGTGCCTTACGAGGTCCAGTGCGTGATATGAAAATGGCTGATTTCGGCTGTGTTAATTAATAGAAGCCTCAGGCTTTTCCAGAGCCAACATTGTCATAAAGCAGCTTAATGCACTTGGCTGATACTTGCTGTTTTCCCCAGAAGAGCTCTGTGTATATATAATGGGTATGAACACCACATGACTGAAGAGTTATGTGCACACAGCTCTCCTATAAGTCCTTGAAAAATGGTTGCTTCGGCTCTGACAAGAACTCCATACGATATTTTCATTCAAATCGTGAGCTACCTCTCACCGTTATCGAAAGACTCGCTTTTGAAAACGCAGAACCACCGCGAAGTTCCATCAAGGATCAAGGAATCTGCAAGTATATGGGCCCATTTGTTCAAGGACGAAGCTTGGCTTCAAGAAGTTGTTGATATAACATATGGGCATATCAACAAACAACCAGTCCCGTGCTTGATCGGCAAAGATCTCATCAAAGTCTCAAGGAAAGACACAAGGAGCGTACCTAGCATTGCTCACTAACGACTGGGGCGGGACGTTCAATTCACAAAGCAAACCTTACTTCATTCCTTGAAGCCCCACACATTCGATAAAGCCAATTCAGAGGTTCACCTTGAGGGTTCTGGAATTACCTTGCATATTTACGATGCTATTAGATCGTCTGAGTCCCTATCGATCCAAGATCCAGCAAGACTTCTTCGCCGAGAGGGACGTGGGGTGTCGACATATGCTATTTACTACGATAACCAGTCTGTCTTGGAGAAAATTGGGCCCCGGCTAATTCAAGGGATCGAAGGGGTAACGTGGAAGAGCAAAAAGGCGGTTCGCGAAAGGTTTGCTATCGTACTTCGCCACCGTGATGGTCAGTCTGTTAAGCGATTCCTCGAGAGCCCGACTAAGACGATTAACTTCGTCTATACACGGCGTCAAAGTGGTACATGGGATGGGTTTAGAGTAGCTCGACCCGGCGAGAGAGAAAACTGGTAGAATTTGCTTGGCTCATTATCTCGACTCGGCAGCACTTTTTGTCAAAGGAAATGAGAGATGCCATGCATATGACGGTTATTCAGCCCGAAGGGCGTTCTATGCCTTGAGGAACGAAAGGCCTTCTAACGTGCCCCGCAGACCCCGCCCTCTCGGCAGCACTTTTTGTGCCTTGAGGAACGAGGAACGAGTGCCTTGAGGAACGAGGAACGAGTGACGAAAGGTTCTTAGGGTTCCTCCCCGGGGAGAAAAAAAATTCGCCATGCCTTGAGGAACGAGGAACGAGTGACGAAAGGTTCTTAGGGTTCCTCCCCGGGGAGAAAAAAAATTCGCCATGCCTTGAGGAACGAGGAACGAGTGCCTTGAGGAACGAGGAACGAGTGACGAAAGGTTCTTAGGGTTCCTCCCCGGGGAGAAAAAAATTTCGCCATCGATTTCCCCCCCGCAAATGCCGCCCTCTGATTCGCTGGCGTTCTCGCTTTTGATTCGTCGGTTGTTCTTTTCTCGCTTTTCATTCGTCGATGTTCTCGCTTTTCATTCGTTAATAAATAAAAATAAATAATGCCCTGCCCCCTTGCTGCCCCTTTTAGTTCCAGCTGCGCAGTTCGCTTCCAACGCCTCCGTAGACCATACGCCGCCGCAGACCACATAGAGGAAGGTGCCCAAGCCGGCCCGGCTTCTAACTCCGCCATAGACCACACGCCTCCACAGACCACCCCTTCGCCCGTCCTCCTGGCCCTTACCTACACTCCTTTTACGTCAGAAGTGTGGAAAATGCAGGGCGCCTGCGTTACCTGCGGAGCCAGTCGGCCGCCTCCTGTGTTGTCTGCCTGCTAAGCTCCTCTAGCCGGGCCTGCGCTGCCGTCATCTCCTCAGGCACCCGGTTCCCCACTAGGTCCCGCTCCCGCACCTCTGATACGAGCATGATGCCGTCGAGCGTCGGGCACCGCGACAGCTGCACGTATAGGCTATACGGGTCGCACGACGACGGCACCGCCCTCCCCTCGACCGTCGTCATCCTCGCCCCCCGCAGCTCCAGCGCCACGCGCTCTAGCGTCCCGCCCTGCACCTTATAGTCGGTGCAGGCGAAGGCCGCGGCGCACGGCAGGCCCCTCCGGCTGACGTCGTTGCGCTGCCATGGCCGCTTCCGCTGCGCTGTGATCTTGACGCTGATGGGCGTTAGCAGGATCGTCCCGGCAGGCATCCCGACGAAGTGGAAGTCCTTGGTCGTCTCCGAGGCCAGCACGATGCCCGCCGGCGGCCGAAGTGCATGATGAGCTCCGCCGAGACGCGGTGGCCGGGAAGGCGCGGTCGGGGATGACGTCCACCGCCGTGTACCCGGCCCCGTTCACAAGCTTCAGCCCCTGGTGCGTGTTCTGGTTCACGACGACCGGCATGCCTGGCACGAAGAGGAAGACGGCCGGCACCGGGGTCGCGCTGTCGTCGCCCTGGCCTAGCATTAGCACCGCCTCCTCTTCCGTCGGCACGCCGTCCCTCCACTTATGCTCGGAGAGGAAGACGCGCGCCGCCGTCCGCCGCCTCTCCCGGAACGCGAGCGCCGCCTCTAGGTTGAGGTTCCAGCGGTTCCGGTTGAGCGGCGTCACCACCGTCAGGCCCGTCTCCCACGGGATCCGCCTGCCCGGCCGGTAGCATCTCGAGTTGAGCAGCTCTAGGTCCGACCGGTCCTGCTCGCCCCGGCGGATCCGCCCGAGCAGCCGCCGCAGCTCCGGGTCGCCGGCGGCCCGCATCTGCTCGTCTAGCATGACGACCGTCGTGAAGCGCCGCCACAGCGCGTGCGCCTTGTCGTGCTGCCGCCGCTGCTCGGCCGCGAACGCCCCGTCCTCGTCCCACGCCACCGCCGCGCTCGGCAGCAGGATCGACCGTTCCTGCACCGGCCGGAACTGGTGGAAGTCGCCGCAGAGGATCACTACCGGGATGCCGCCGAAGTCCCGCGCCGACCCCCGCAGCCGGCAGAGCTGCTCGTTGGCGGCGTGCAGCGTCCGCGCCCCGAGCATGCTGACCTCGTCGATCACCAGCACCTCCTTCTCCTGCCAGTCCATCCGCGACCGGCCGTCGACGAAGCGCTCGCCCTGGCCCGCCAGCCGTACGCCGTCAATGTCCTCGTCGCCCTCCCGCCCGGCCGCCCTGGCCGACCGTAAGGCCGCAGGCCGAGTGCAGCGTGATGCCGTTGATCCGCGCTGCCGCCGTCCCCGACGTCGCCGTAACCAGTACCCGGCTCGATAGGTCCCTCCGGGCGAGCAGCTCGACGAGCGCCTCGATGACGCGCGACTTGCCGGTGCCGCCCTCGCCGCCGATGAATAGGCAGAGCTGGCCACCACCGTCGCCGCCTGCGTCGTCGCCCTGCCGGATTCGGTCGAGTTGCCGGCACACGATTAGGAGGGCGATGGCCTGCTTCTCGTTGAGCGTGAGCTGGCCCGCCAGCTCCTGCCGGCGGCGACGAACGAGCTCGACGGGCCGAGCCGCACGCGCATCCCCGCCGCCGTGCCTGCGTCTGCGTCGCCGTCGGCCGCCGTTACGTCGATGTCGTCCTCGCCGAAGCCCCCCATCACCCCGCGAAGGGCCGCGCCGCGGTCGGCCCCGACGCCCGCCGCCGCCCCGCCGCCCTGGATGCCCTGGATCGCCCGCTCCCGCCCCGCGCCGCGCTCCTCTGCTGCGACTTGATGGCCCGCACCTCTTCTTGCCGCGGCAGTGCCGCCCCGACAGCGCCGAGCCCGGTAGGTTCACCCGCCTGCCTGCCCTCTCGTCCGCCACCACCGTCGCCGCGAGCTCGGCCGCCGACCCGAGCGCCGACTGCTGGAACCGGCAGAGCTGCTGCGTCATCGCTAGCAGCTCTGTTGACTGCGCCGTGACTTGTCCCGCGCTGGCGGCGTCCGGACGACGTCGATGAGCCGGGCCGCGTCGCCCGCCCCGCCGGCGCGGTATGCCTCCTCGCCCCCTTCGGCCGCCCCCCTGCCTTCGTCGTCGGCCTGCGGCGCCGTCATACCGCCCTCCTCGGCCGTGGCGGCCCACTGCTTGGCGTCGCGCTTCGCGTCCTCCGCCGACCGCCGGAGGAGCTGCACGTTGTCTGCGAGCCGCGCGACCCTCGGCGCCAGCGACTCCCGCGCCCGTGCCCAGATGTTGTTAATGTCGCCTGCCTCCTCGCCGAGGAAGGACTCCCACGGCACGAATAGGGCCAGGTGCTGCACCGCCGCCCTAGATGCTGTTAGCCGATGCCCCTAGCTGCTCTGCCTTCCTCTTAGGCGCCCCCCGTCTTATAGTACGCACCTCCGGTGGCACGACTCGTCGTCTTCCTCGCTGAACTCCTTGCTGAGGTATCCGTCGACGCATACAGTCGCCCCGCAACCCGGCCGCCTAAGCGCCTGCACCCAGCCCTTCCCCGACGCCCAGCTCTCCGGGAAGGGTCCCTCCCCCCACCCCGCCATACCGTCGGCGCCGCTGCCGTTTTGCTTTAACCTTACAAGCGATGCGTAGTCATAAAGGCAGAGGCCCGCAGGAGCTCGCCCCGGTGCCGGTAGGCCTCGACGAGAGGGATCCTCAGGCCAGCCTCCTCGACGACGACCGTCTCGTCCGGCGCGTCGCCCGTCGCCTCGGCGCCGCTCGCCCGTCGGAGGTGCCGCCACCGGCGGAAGACGGCCCAGTAGAGCTGGTTTGCGTTTATATACGCCCACGCTGAGCCGCTGCTAAACTCCGCCGGGTACCCTAGGAGGTGCGCGATCACCTCGACCTGCGACAGCGGCCGCTCCGTAAAGACTCGATTCGCCGCCTTAAGCAGGAACGTTCTCGTCTTATTCCCCTACGGGGTCCGCCGCCGTCGCTACCCCTTCGGCCCCGCCCTCCCGGCCGGCGTCGCGGTCGGCGCCACTTCTGTTGCCCTCTCCCGTCGGCTCTAGCACAGGAAGGAACTCGGCCGCGGCGGCCACACGCTTCCACACCGGGTCCTCTACCTTCGTCGCATAGTTAGTAATATAGTAGATTAGGGCCATGGTCTTGCGCTGCGTCGCGATGAACGAGATGTCGTGGTTGTGTCGTAGCCCCACTGCCATCGCCCTGTTCCACCGGTTCACCATGCTATGCGTCCGCCGGATCTCGAGCACCCCGTCCGCCGTCAGCGCCGTCCTCCACCAACCTCCACGGCGCCTTAAACCGGCAGAGGTCCCCTTCCGCGCCCCACGCCGAGCGAGTATTTTACGCAGGTCGCGCTATGCGTATGGATCTGCGTCGCGCCCGCGCAGAAGTTGGCCTCCTCGTCGAAGGTGTCCGTGAAGCGCGCGACGTCGTCGAGCCGCGACGATATGTCCGCCGTGGCCGACCGCTCTGCCTGCATGGCACAGTAACCTTCTGCGTCTAGCTCCTGCGGCCTCGGTTCAGCTTAGGCCCCTCAGCCTGACCCAGATAGGGGGCATCGGGGGGTTGTGTTAAGGCGGCCGCCTTACCTCAGAGAAGACGCTATCTACGTAGCGGACGATGCGCTCCCGGTACGCCGCCTGCTCCTCCGCGTCCGGGCCGGCGAGCGCGTCGCCAATGCCCGCGTTGCCCCTTAGCCAGAGGAGCCCGTGGATGTGGAGGGCGCCTCGCTCGTTGGTCTCTACCGCCCCGTAGTATGCGCCGACGTGGCCGAACACCGACTCCTCCCCGACGTTGACGTAGTGCTCGAAGAAGAGCGTCATCTCCCGGTGGAAGAAGACGGCCGAGCTCATCGGGTCCGATATGGCCAGCCGCGTCCGCTTATACGCGGTCCCTAGGTCACTTAGGAAGGCCTCGGCCTCGTCGGGGTCGCGGCCGCGGTGCGCCGCTAGCCGTAACTTTACTAGGTTCGTAATGTCGTTCGGGTTCAGCGTGAACCAGATAGCCGGCACCCCGTACCTAACGATGAGGATAGTATCTTCTTCCGCATACTAAGGCGGCTCTCCTCGACATTGGCTGCCGGTAGCCGAACACGGAGAGGGACCGGAGGAGCTCTTTACCCCGTCGTCGCTAGTCTTACCTGTGGCCTCGAGCTCGGCCTCGCCGCCTCGAGCCTCTGCGCCGTTAACGACTTTAGTAGGCCCTCGACCCTTGCGAAGTTCTTCCTCGCTACGCCTAGCATGCTGGCCTGGCGGTTCTTAGACCGCACGCCCATGTTAAAGACAAGGAAGGCGAAGATAGGGTGCGTCGCGAACCGGCCGCCGTGACGCCGCAGCACGACGTCGGCCCATGCCTGGAGCTTCATGTTCCGCGTCGACATAAGGCCCTCTGCAACCCGCTCCGCCTGGGCGCCCTGGTTCCCGACGCTAGGCCCGCGCTCTCCCGCGGCGTCCTCGTCGGCGAGCCTCGGCCCGCCTAAGCCAAATGGGAACAGGGTCGGAAAGGCCTTTGCAAAGAAGGAGGCGTCCGCCGAGTCGGCGAAATCCTCGCCGCGTCGCACCTGTATGTACGGCTCGCCGTCGCCGCCGTCGCCCGCCGCCCCTCTGGCCGCCGTCCCTACCCACGTCCTCGGGCTGGCGCGCGCTCCCTCGGGCCCGACCGCGTCGCGGGCGAAGCGAATCTTCTCGGCGTCGGCCACATCTGGCGCCCCATCTAACGGGAACATGCCGGAAGACGTTACCTCATTGATTACATCCCCGTCCTCTTCGGGCCTAGCGCCGTCCCTGTCGTCGTCCTCGCACGTGAGCCCGACGTCGCGGCTCCCCTCGGCGGGGTCCTGGCCCTGCCTTAGCATCGCGAGGACCTCCTCGATCTCGGCCGCGCCTCCGTCGTCCATGGCCCGCTCCGACGGCGGCACCACCTGCGCCGTCTGCGTCCTCTCCCGCGCCGACGGCTCGTTTCGCTCCAGCCGCTCGCACACCACCGGCGGCACCCCGTGCGGCGGCGCCCCAGCTGGCTATCTCCGCCGCGTCGATCTCGACCTCGCCGTAGAGCGGGTTGTTCTCCTGAGCCAGGCCAGCGCCCTCTCGACCGCCGACCGCCTTACCGACAGCAGGCCTGATAGGTCCCGCGGCCCGGGCCTCTCAGCGCCCTGCCACGAGACGTGGATCTCGTCCATGACCCGGACCAGCGGGTGCGGGAGCACCTTGGCAGCCAGGCCCTGCACGTCGTTCGGGAACACCGTGATATGGCCCTTGACGTGCCTCGGGTACCTCACGCTCTGCCTCTGGCCGCCGGGGATGCTATACTTCGTCACGAAGCCGTAGCACGAGTTGAGCGAGATGAGCTTCTCCTCGAGCGGCGTGAGGTCCTTTAGCTCGTCGGGGTACGCGTGCTCGCAGCCGAGCCGCCCATGGAGGTGCATGGCCGGCGACGCCCCCTCACGCCCGGCCCATCGCGCGCACTCTGCGCAGACCGCCACCGGCCTGCCCTCCGGGAAGCAGGCTTGGCACCCGAACGGGGACCGCCCGCCCCCCGCAACACCGCTCCGCGACCACCCTCCCACCCTCCCACGCCATCTCCTCAGCTCCCTTGGCCCGCTTCCGGTAGCATAGCGTGCAGGTCGCGATCGGCAGCGTGCCAGCGTCGTGGAACGCCCGGTAGAACTTCCGCACCGTCCTCACCTGCCTCTCGCGCGGCACCGGCGCACACCACGTCTGCTCGTGAGCCAGCCTCTCGCCCGCCTCGAACTCCTCGTCGAGGTGCCGCAGCGCGCTGGCTAGGTCCTCGGCCTGCAGCTCCCTTGGTCTCGGCACCCTTTCACCGACCCGGGCGCGTTTCCGCTCGGCCTGCCCACTACTAAGATGGCGTTTCCTCTTCTGCTCTTCCCTCGCCTGCCGTCTTATCGCCGATCTACCTGCGTCCGGTTAGCCATCACCGCTACACGCCTTTACCTCGCTCTACGACCGTACCTGCCGAGGCGCTATCTCTGCCGCCAACAAGCAGCCCGGCTGCGGCCGGAGTTGTGGCGGGGATCTCGGCCCTGCTGGCCGGCCGGGACTGGATGGCTCGCGGCGAGTGCTGGCTTCCGATCGAGACTACGGCCGAGCTAGTCCCGCTTGACGGCGGCGAAGGCCGGCGGCCCTCCAAGTCGGTTGTGGCCGAATATCCCGCGGAACGTCCGAACTTCTCGTCGGCGGCGGCGAGGCCCGGCGGCCTCCACCGTCGGCAGAGGCCGGATTTCCCTCGGTGCGCGCTGGCTTTTCCTGAGGCCGAGACGGCGCTAGGCCCGCCTTGCGGCAGCCGGCGCCCTGCCGCCGTCGGTGTCGACAGAGCCTGGATATCCCGCGGCGCGTCCGAACTTCTCGTCGGCGGCGAAGGGCCGGCGGCCCTCCATGTCGGCTGTGGCCGAATGTCCCGCGGAACGTCCGAACTTCTCGTCGGCGGCGGCGAAGGACCGGCGGCCTCTACTGTCGGCAGAGGCCGGATTTCTCTTGGTGCGCGCTGGCTTTTCCCTGAGGCCGAGACGGCGCTGGCCACGCCTTGCGGCAGCCAGTGCCCTGCCGCCCTCGGTGTCGGCGGCAGCCAAGTTGCCGCCGCGCTCGGTGTCGGCCGAGGCTGGATATCCCGCGGCATGACTCGGCCTGCGCTGATCCTCCATCTCCCTAGTCCTGGCGGTCTTCCCGCCTCGCCTCGGAGGCGCCCCTTGACGCCTCTTCTTGCTCTCTCCGAGGGCGCCGCTAGCAAGTGCCGGCGCTGCTGTGGTCGGCTGGAACTCTGGTCCTGTGTACGGCGCTGCGCAGGCTTCTGGCGCCGGGCTTGCCCCGTCCCCCGCTCCGGACTGGTCCCTTCCGTTGGCTGGCTTCATTGCGACACCGGTCTACCAAAGCCCCACGGACGTCTTGTCTTCTCTTTGCACCTGCCCTCTTTGGCCCTGCCTACTTATGGTGCCACTAGGCCCCGGCGTAAATCCTCGTAAGTGGAATAAAAGCGGATAAATCCTTGCCTCGATTATTCGCCCTGCACTTATCTTGCTGACTGGCCCCCTCTTGCGCATATAGGATCCTCTACAAAAGTCTATATATCTTACTCGTAGCTCTCTACTATGTCTATATGCGTGCTGCTGCTCTTTGCATTATACCGGCGCCGCCTTTCTATTAATCCCGCCCGCCATTGCCTGCTGCTATATGCGATAGGCTAGACGGCCTCGGCCGATCCTTATATGTACGTCGCCGCGACGGCTTCTTCTTGCCTATGCTTTGCATGCTACGCTTTTCCTTCTTGTCATCCAGCTCTTATCAGTCAAAGCTTCCGTATGCCCCTAGACACTTGCCCGCTGAAGTTTAAAACCATGTCTTACACGTGTTGCGAATAGGGCTGCCTGCTTCTCCTCGAATATAGCTTCGCGCGTCCTGCTTGTCTTAAAACTCTCAACATCTTACTAGACCGCCTTTTAAAGTTCTCCCTTCTCTTATTGCACTCTCCTCTATACGCATCTTATAACCCTCTTTACAAAGGCTCCTTATATAACCTACCACTAACGCCATGTTGCGTCTTTGTTTAGAATCCTTTGACTTCTCTTACACACCATCGCCACTGGCCCTTCTCTTTACACTAAACTTCCCACCCGGCCCTTGCCGATACGCCCATGAAGAGGGCGCGCTTGCTGCAGCAGCAGAATTCGCCGCCTTCCTCGTCTTCGGACACCGTCAGCTCCGCCGCCCTCCTCCTCTCCCCGCCGGCCGCTTCTTCGTCTCGACCGAGCGGCGTCCCGCCCGTTCCCGCTCCGGCAGCCAAGCCGGGTTCCCTCTTGACTCTATTGTCGCGAGCACCTCCGACCCGCCCGCTCGACCTATCCGCTATCGCATGCAGAAATGAGCTGCCTACTATAAACCTATCGCTCTCTTACGCCTCTTGCCTTTACTAAAATAAACCGTTCTCCCTCTCGAGATGCTATTCCTAACGAAACTTATCGCTGCAAAATTACCATTACTCTACACATTACAACGTTTATCTCTTTTTTTGAAACAACAACTTTAGCTTGCGACCTATTTCTTACGATAGTGCCTGCCTCTATTTGTTCTCCGTGACCTTGTTTGTGTCCTGCGTTATGCCTTGTCCCTTTTACTTTCCTTCCCTCCTCTCCCTAGCTCCCTAGCTTGCCTTTGGCTTGCATCCCTTCTTGTGCACCTTCCAGTCCTCCTTTTGGTGTTGCCTGCTGCAGTACGCGACGGCCTTGCATCGGCTGCACCTCCTCGCCCCCGCCGTCTCTCCGCACACCCGGCAGACCTGCCCCTCTGTGCTCTGCCGATCCTGCCCTTGCATTTGCTTTGCGCCTATGCTTTCGTCCGCCTGCCCCGCCTCTGCCATCGTGTCCTGCATTTCCTGCCTCGCCCTAATTTCGCATCCTTCTTTGCCGCAGAACGACGAGACAACCACGAGGACATATGGCCTCTCTGCGTGTAGAAACGATATCGGGCTCTGTAGAATGTCCTTTGCGAGTCCGCCGCAGCTCTCGCAGCGCGCCCCTGCTGCCTTCCGACACACTGCCTCGTGCTCCTGTAGGATTGGCCTTATCCACTGTAGGAACTGTGCGCTGGCTTCGTTGTTTGGCCTCGCCTGGCCTGCCTGCGTCACGAGCGTCTTCGGGATGCTATGCATATACTTAAGCTCCGTGGCCCCGAATTCGCTCCAGAACTCCACGGAAACGTTGCAAGTGGCCATGCTGTAGTTATTTTCGTAACTGCTTGATCGGTAGCTATAGTACTTGCTTCTGCTCTTCTCTCCTATTTGTGCCTTAGTGCCTCTCTTATACTCTCTTCCTTTCTCTTACCCCGCAACCGTTTATCGCCGCTCTACTTGCCTTCTTGCTTTTTCTGTCTCTTCCCCGCTGCGGGTTGGTGCCCGAATGGCCGATTTCTTTGCCTACCTTCTTGCATGCTTTAGTTCCTAGCGCTACCGCCTGCTTGCGTTCTTTGTCTTGTCTTTGTCTTGTCTTGATTGTCTCTCCAATCTTCAGTCTTCGTTCCTCAAGGCCCTTTGCGCAACCCGTGAGGGGTTGCCTTACCTGTGATCATCACAATACTGAATGAACTCCTTGGTCGTATGCGAGCTGTAGCCATGCCTTGAGTGCCTTGCCTTGAGGAACGAAAGGACTTCTTAGCGCGCGGGGAAAAAAGGCCCCAAACTGCTTCACCCCCACATCCTCCGCCTCTGATTGGCTGATTTATTTCCTCTTTCGGAATAAAAGATCCCGTGTGATTGGTCGCCGACCCTTCCCTCCCTCCCTCGTCATTGGTCGCTGCCGCCTTCTCTTGCCCCTCTCATGCCTTGCCCTGTTTCCCCCCCGTTATATTACTCCTGTTTACCCCCTTGCCAATGCCAATGCCAACCTTTTTCCTTTCGTCCGCCGGTTTTCTTATTGTGTCTAAAACTTGCGTCCTTTTGTCTTTGCCCTTTTCGTTCATGCCTTTCTAGCGGGTTCTTCCTTCAAGTCTAAAAGTCGCCCCTCGTTGATCGCTGCTGCCCAGTGCCCTTGTCTTCTTGCCCGCCGGCGCGCTCCTCCGTCTTCTCCCCCTCGTCACCTCACCCTGACAACTCTCCTTGACTCTTCAGCGTCGCCATCCGACCGACGCAAAGCTTCCTCGACAGTCCTCTCGCTTAGCACCTCCAGCCTGGCCTGCGCGGCGGTCATCTCTTCGGGGACTCGGTTGCCCACCAAGTCTCTCCCGCACCTTGGACACGAGCGTGATGCCGTCTAGCGTTCGACAGCGCGATAGCTGCACATATAAGCTGTACGGGTCGCATTGCGAGGGCACGGCCCTTCCATCGACTTTCGTCGTCCGTGTCCCCCGCAGCTCCAGGGCCACGCGCTCTAGCGTTCTGCCCTGCACCTTGTAGTCCGTGCAGGCGAAGGCTGCTGCGCACGGCAATCCCTTCCGGCTGACGTCGTTCTGCTGCCACGGCCGCTTTCGTTGGCAGTGTATCCTGACGCTCATCGGCGTTAACAAGATCGTGCCCGGCGGCATCCCGACGAAGTGGAGGTCCTTTGTCGTCGCCGATTCCAGTAATATCCCCGCCGGCGGCCCGAAGTGGATCGTCATGTCGGACGAGATTCGATGCCCCGGGGACGCCTTGTCGACAATGACCTCCACCGCCGAGTAGCCGGCGCCGTTCACCAGCTTCAGCCCCTGATGGGTGTTGTGGTTCACGACGACCGGCATCCCGGCCACGAACATGAAGACGGCCGGCACGGGGATCGCGCTATCGTCGCCTTGATTGAGTATCATGATCGCTTCTTCCTCGGTCGGCAGGCCCTCCTTCCACTTGTGCTCGGAGATGAAGATGCGCATCGTCGACCGCTGCTGGACCCGGAACGCCAAGCTTGCCTCCATGTTTAGGTTCCACCGATTCCTGTTCAGCGGCGTCACCACGGTGATGCCAGTCTCCCAAGGGATCCGCCTGCCCTCGCGGTAGCACCTTGAGTTGAGGAGGTCCAGATCCGTGCGGTCCTGCACACCCTGCCGGATCCGCTTCAGTAGCCCCTGCAATTCCGGATCCCCGGCGGCGCGCATTTGCTCGTTCAACATGACGACCGTCGTGAATCTCTTCCACAGCGCGTGCGCTTTGTCGTGCTGGTGCCGCTGCTCGGCCTTGAACGAGTTGTCTACGTCCCACGAGATGGCCGCGCTCGGCGGGACGATCGACCTCTCTTGGACCGGCCGGAACTGCTGAAAGTCTCCGCAGAAGAGGACGATGGGGATCCCCCCGAAATCTTTCTGCGATCCGCGAAGCCGACAGAGTCGCTCGTTTATGGCGTGCAGCGTCCGCGCTCCGAGCATGCTCACCTCGTCGATGACAAGCACGTCCTTCTCCTGCCAGTCCATCCGAGACTGGCCGTGGATGAACCGCTCCGCCCGTTTTGTCAGCCGCACCCCGTCAAGGTCCTTGGCTGTGTTCGCGCCGCCCGCCCTTGGTCTTTAGTGAACCCGCAGGCGGAGTGGATCGTGATGCCGTTGATCTGCGCCGCGGCAGTCCCTGACGTCGCCGTGATCAGCAGACGATTCGAAAGGCTCTTCCCACTGAACAGCTCGACGAGTGCCCCAATGATCCGCGACTTGCCGGTGCCCCCCTCGCCGCCGACGAACTGGCAGAGCTGGCCGGCATCGCCCCCGTCGTTTGTCGCATCAAATCGAGCTGGCGGCATATTATTAGGAAAGCGATCGACTGCCTCTTGTTCAGCGTTAGCCGTGTTGACAACTCCTTGCCCGCCGCGAAGAAGGAGGTCGATGGGCCAAACTGGACGCGCATTCCCGCTTCTGCGTCGCTAGCCGTCTCGTCGGAGTCGGCTGTCGTCATTTCGACGTCGTCCTCCCGAAGCCGGTCATCACCTCCGCAACGCAGCTCGGCGATCGCTTTCCCGGACTGCGATTGTGGTTTGTACGCCTTGGATCATTCTCTCCCTTTCCTCGACGCACTTATCTGCTGCGACTTGATAGCCTTGACCTGATCCTGCGGCGGTAGTGCGGCCCCGGAAAATACCCGCCCTGGCATGCTTATGCACCTCAACCCTTGTTCGGGAATCGCGATGGCCTCGAGCTCGGCCGTTGAGCAGAGCGCCGATTGCTGGAATCGACAGAGCTGCCGCATCATTGCCATGAGCTCCGGCGACTTGGCCGTCACCTGATTCGTGCCCACTGCGCCTCGGACGACGTCGATCAGGCGCGTTGCGTCTCCGATGTTGTTGGACCGATATGTCGCTGCAAATTCTGCGCCCGCCTCGCCTGTCTCGCCCTCCTCGACGTGGGCGACCGTGGAATCGCCATCGCCGGATGAGGCCGCCCATTGCTTGGCGTCGCGCTTTGCGTCTTCGGCTGATCGTCGAAGCAGCTGCACGTTGTCGACGAGACATGATATTCTCGGGGCCAGCGCCTCTCGCGCCCGCTCCCAGATGCCATTGATCTCACCTGTTTCTTCGCACAGAAAGGACTCCCACGGCACAAATAGCGCAAGATGCTGCACGGCTGCCCTTTAAGGGGGAGGTGGGGGAGGTTAGCCACTCTGATGATGCCTGCCGGCAGGGCGGTTGCTATACACACCTCCGGTGGCACGACTCCTCGTCGTCGTTGTGGCCGAAGTCCTTGCTCAGGTAGCCATCGAGGCAGACGGTAGCATGCTTGCCCGGCCGCCTGAGCACCTGGACCCAGCGTCTCCCTGGCGCCCATCCATCCTCGAAGGGCACCTCCCCCCAGGCCGCACAGCTCTCATCCTTACTGGTGCGTTTTAGTCTAACGAGCGATATGTACTCGTATAAGCATAGCCCTCGCAGGAGCTCTCCCCGGTGCTGGTACGCCTCAACGTGGGAGATCCTCAGGCCTGCTTCTTCGACAACGACCGACTCATTCAGAGCATCATCTATGGCCGCCGCGCCATTTGCTCGTCGGAGATACGGCCACCTTCGAAAGACTTCCCAGTACAGCAGAGATGTGTTCAGGTACGCCCAGGCGCTGCTGTTGGTGAACTCGGCCGGATATCCCAGAAGATGAGCAATGACCTCGACCTGAGACAGCGGACGCTCCGTGAACACACGATTCGCCACCCTCATCAAGAACTGTCGCGTCCTGTTCCCCTTGGCGGCGTCATCGCCAACAGCACCTCCACCGTCGTCCTGTCCTCCGTTGGCCGTGCCATCACCCGTTGAGGCGGCCAGGAGATCGGCCGCGGCCGCCACACGCTTCCACACCGGGTCCTCCACCTTCGTCGCGTAGTTCGTGACATAATACATAAGGGCCATGGTCTTGCGCTGCGTCGCAATGAAGGAAATGTCGTGGTTGTGCCGGAGCCCAACAGCGATAGCCTTGTTCCATCGATTGACCATGCTGTGAGTCCTCCGATCTGCAACACCCCGTCTGCCGTGATGGCGGTCTTGTCGACCAACCTCCATGGAGACTTAAACCGGCATAGATTCCCTTTCCGCGCTCCTTTGCCCAAGGAATACTTGACACAGGTCGGGCTATGCGTGTGAACCTGTGTAGCGCCGGCACAGAAGTTGGCCTCCTCGTCAAATGCGGCCGAAAACTGCTCGGTGTTGTCCAGCAGGGAGGAAATATCGGACGTCACAGATCGCTCCGCTTGCACGGCGCAGAACCCTTCCTGATCCAGATCCTATCTTGCACGTCAGCCTGGCCCCGTTTGTCCATTGGACGAGCAATTCAGGTTCTCAGTGACACGTCTTAGCTATTCTTACCTCGGAGAAGACACTATCGACGTATCGTATGATTCGCTCGCGATTCGCCGCCTGATCCTCCCCGTGGATGTCGGCAAGCATCGAGCTGAGATGCGCGTTTCCGTGCAACCAGAGCAAGCCGTGAACATGAAGCGCCCTCGTTCGTTGGTCTCCACAGCGCCATAGTACTTGCCGATGCGCCCGAATACCGACTCTTCTCCGACCTTCACGTAATGATCGAAGAACAGCTTCATCTCCCGGTGGAAGAATACGGCGGCGCTCATCGGATCGGACATGGCCAGCCTTGTCCGCGTGTACGCACTCCCAAGGCCTTCTAGGAACTCCTCGGCCGCGCCGGGATCGCGTGTCCGATATGCCGCCAGTCGCAGCTTCACCGGGTTCGTAATGTCGTTTGGGTTGATGGTGAACCAGATGGCCGGAACGCCGTAGCCAACGATGAGCGACTGGATTTTCCGCCGCATATTGAGCCGAACCTCTCGACATGGGTTGCCGGTGGCCGTACAGCGAGAGGCTCATGAGAAGCTCCTTCACGCCCTCATCGGTCGTCTTGACCGAGCTCTCCAACTCGACCTCGCCGCCGCTAACCTTTGCGCGGTCATCGAGCGGGCAACGCGCTCGACCTTGCCGAAGTCCTTCCTCGCCACACTCAGCATGCTGACGCGGCGGTTCCTCGACCGCACCCCATGTTGAAGACGAGAAATGCAAATATGTGGTGCAACGCAAACCGGCCACCATGGCGCCGGAGCACGATGTCGGCCCAAATCCGGAGGTTCAAGCTTCGGGAGGATACGATGTCTCCGCAGCCGCCCCTGCCTCAACAGCTCTACCGGTGCCTCGCAAGTTGGTAAGGGCCTTCCCGCCTCGGCTATGGCCTCTTCGGCCAGCCTTGGTCCCCAACGCCAAATGGGAACAGGGTCGGGAACGTTCTGGCGAAGAAGGACGTCTCAAAGGAGTCGGCAAACTCATCCCCCCGCGAGACTCGAATGTATGGCTCACTGCCATCGTCGCCACGCCCTCGAGCCCCCCCCACCGAGGATCCGACCCACGTTCCGGGCCCGCGCGGCCGTCGTCGGCACCTGCGCCAACAGCGTCACAGGCAAACCGCAGCTTCTCGACATCCGCCACGTCTGGCGGTCCGTCCAGCCCAAACATGCCGGAAGACGTCACCTCGTTGATTGGTCGAACGTTCTGATCGGGGCTAGCACCAACTCCATCACGACCCGCGCCTTCTTCGTTGGGCCCGTGCCCTTCAGCCTCGCCTCCCGTTTCCTGCCTTTGCGTGAGCAGAGCGAAGAGTTCCTCGATCTCCACCGACCCCTCGTCGTCCATGGCGCGCTCCGTGGGCGGCACAACGTGCGCCGTCCGCGTTTTCTCCCATGCGGACGGCTCGTTCCGCTCCATGCGATCATACACCAAGGCCGGCACCCCGTCTATCGGGTCTCCCCAACTCTCCATCTCCGCCACGTCGATCTCGATCTCGGCGTAGTGGGGGTTGTTCCTCTTCAGCCAAACAAGAGCCCTCTCGACGACCCGCCTCCTCACCGACAAGAGACTCGACAGGTCGCTCGGTGCCGGCTTCTCCACGCCCTGCCACGAAACGTGGATCTCGTCCAGTGCTTGCAAAAGGGGGTGCGGGAGCACCTTGGTCGCCAGCTCCTGCACGTTGTTGGGAAACACTGTGATGTGGCCCTTGACGTGCCTCGGATACCTCACGGCCTGCCTCTGCCCGCCCGGAATGCTATATCTCGTGACAAACCCATAGCAGGAGTTGAGCGAGACGAGCTTCTCTTCGACCAGCGTGAGTCCCTTGAGCTCGTCAGGGAACATGTGCTCACAGCCAAGGCGAGTGTGAAGATGGACCGCCGGCGACAGACTACCGCGCGCCAGGCATCGGGCACACTCCGCACACACCGACACGGGCTCGCCTTCGGGAAAGCAGCTCCGGCATGAAAATGGTGAGCGGCCGCCCTCTGGCACGCAGCTTGACAGCCATTGATCCCATCTGATCTCCCTCAGCTCTTTTCTCGTACGCTTGCGGTAGCACATCATGCAGGTCCTGGAACGCCTGATAAAAATCCCGCACCGTCGACACCTTCCTGTCGTGCGGTATTGGCGTACACCACGTCTGATCGTTAGACAGCCTCTCCTTCATGGCGAAGTCTTCCTCCAAAAAACGCAGCACAGTCGCCAGGTCTTCGGCCCGCAGCTCCCGACTCCTCTGCCTTCCGATTCCACTCCGAATCTGTTTTCTCGGGCGCTCGTCCGGGCCAGGAAGACGTTTTCTCTTCTCCCGCCTCCCGGGCCGCCTCCGGGGCCGCCTCCGATCCATGATTTCTTCTCTCCGTGGCTGATTCGCTTCTTCGCAAGCCGTCGGATGCGGCAGCTTTGGCGACGACTGCCCGACTACGTGCGCATCCTGACACGCCATCCGGCCCTTTGCACTGGACAGGCACCGGGCCGTGCTGGCGAACGTTTTCCATGCCGAACCTTGACCTCAGTCCTGCCCTTTCCAGCACTCTCCTCGTTCTTGCTGCCGATCAAACTGCACGGGCTCCCAGCCGCCACCCGCGATGAGCCGCCCACCTCCCTTTGTTGCAGCCTCCGCCCGCTCAGCGAAGCGTCCGCTGGCTCTGCCGCGGCGTCGCCCACCCCCACAGGAGACGGCCCCGGATGCTGCGCCGTACCTGCTGCGTTGGAGACACCCCTGCGGCCTGGTACCCATTTACCCGCCAACTCCGTCCCCGACGGCGCTTGGGCAAACCAGACGCAATCGCTGCTGCTAATTGCCCGTTTTCTTGTTGTCGAATACCGGTTCCCTAGGCTGGATGGATCGAAGCTTCGGTACCTCCTTCGAATGAACACTCGGGACATCGCCCGCCGCCGCCGTAACACGTTGCTCCTCATCTTCAGGATCTCCTCCTGAGGCAGAAAGTGCCGATAAGGAGCGGACGATCAGAGTCCGCTACCCCATATCTCCACGTTCCCTAGGCAACAGGGGCCTCGGAAGCTGACCCGGTGACTGATGTTGCGCGGAACTTCCGCTGCTAACCATATTATGGAACTTCCGTGCTCTGTTTGACCGCAAACCGCCTCGCGGCGGTCTTCTCGGCAACGACCTCGCAATTGCTTCTGCGTGCTGTCTCCATGCGGTGTCTTCAACCACAGGTTTCTAGGCTGAATCGGCCGGAACGTTGATGCCGCATTCGCCCGTGATTCGTATCTTCGTAACCGTCCCAGGCTCTCCCCGTGCTCTGCGGCCCCCTCAGAAGCTGCCACCACATCTACACCGGCTCCTGTCGCACCATCTCCGAGCCCCGAACCCGACCCGCTCACGTTCTCACCCTCTTCTCCATCCCCGACTGACAACGAACAGGCTTCAGGGTGAGCAACCGCCTCGCTTAACTTCACTGCAGGACTGTCCGCCATGCTGCTGCCTCCTCGACGTCGACTGCCGTAAATTGGCAACAGGCTATAAAGCTTTGGCTCCGGAGCACCTCCACTTGGACAGTCTCGCTTGTTGACGACGCTACTTCTCCCGAATGGGAAGCTCCTAACCATCACTTCCTCATGGCCGTGGCGTTTCTTCCTTATAGCTTCCCTATAAAATGCTTCCTATGGTACCGAGGCGATGCAATACTACCTCTATATTCCCCGTTACCATGCCTATCTATGTGCGTCCACCGTCCCGGCCTCGCCTGGTCTCCACGTGCGACCTGCTACCCCAGCTTTGCCAAAAGCGACCCTTCCATCGCCGTGCTCTCTTTTGCGCACTCCAGCGAATCCCTGGCCACTGCCGACCTCCGGCACATGGAGATGGCCGCGACAACCGCCTGCCGCACACTTCAAACCATACTCTTCAGCCCTTCCAACACCATCCTACCAACCTTGCGCATCAGTTCACCATCAATATCCGCCAATCCGCCTCGTCGAGCAACAGCCACAAGGCTGCCGGCGATAACATGTCCATGACGTCCCTCATGCAGCCGGACTACCCTTCTAGATTTGCTCCCTCGCCAGCACCAATGTCGCATCAACGGCCTTAATGCTAAAGCGATAGCCAGGACCCCTGCCTGTCCTCTTGTAGTCGCTAGCCACCGGAGTCTCGACTTGCAAACCCTCTTGAAAGTTCTCGTGACCAACTCGCATCCTCCTCCTCAGGTCGACCCATATATCCGACTTCACCGTGTCCCAATAGTAGACTCGACACGGTCGGCACCCGCCTCGCTCAGCCGCACGCAATGCCCATCCAACTACCGACGACCGTCAAAAGGGAGTCCTGCAATACTACCATAACCTCTTTCTTTCCTTCACTCATTCGTTATTGCCCCCTTTGCTATCTACTCCATGCAACGATGACACTGAAGGGTACTACTGGACTTTCTTTCTCCGCAGTCTTACCCACACTAACCTTACCGTTCGCCGACCTCCAACTTCTCGCAACATAGCCATCACCCCTACTCAACTTCCAACCCCCGGCTCCCTACTTCACTCACGACCACAGAACCAGATGGTCGAGACTGCTCGAGAACCTCGCCAGCTCATTCCCGCATACCCCCGCTTCTGATCTATCACCTAGGTAGCATTCATTGACTCTCAAGTCTCCCCGACCCGAGCCGCGAGCCTCTTTCGAGCAGCAAGAAAACCTGCTTTATAGGATGCCTACCTCTACTCTGCCTAACCCTCCTTTACACTTCCACGGTGACTACATCTGCCATGTTCTCACGATGTCGGCCTCCCAGCTCGACGTCGATACCTCGTCCCCGCGGCAACCTCTTGACAGCCAGAAAATGCTGGCGCCGACATGTCCATGATGGCCTTTGTCCAGCCCGGCTGCCCGTCTAGGTTCGCCTACCAGAATGAGCATCGTGTCAAAGGGCTCAACGCAGAAACCCTAGCGAGGGTCTTCCTTCCAACGCCCTCATGGCTGTCGACTCCAGAGTATGCAGCAATCCGGTCAGATCCTGACAATCCATCGACCTGCATCTTCTTGAGCCTTAATATTTCCATATACAACCAACAGATAATCCTCGGAATGGACCGAGCAGTGGTTCTTTATGGTCGGCCGTGTTCATCCCTTTGCCCTGACGTGGGAAATCGAGCGACGTGATAGCTTCGAGTCGGAGGATGACAACATTACAGAATACACCATCCCGGCTCTCATCGTCCGCGACCACAGCTACCAGCCGTAGGTGTATGCTCCAGGCCTCCGTCACCACTACCATCTCTGACGATGGCCACAGAGTCATCCTCGCACCTCGGCTCGGCGGATGCCTTCCCAGCGATACAACCCATTGTCTCCTTCACGGGACCTGTCATCGGTTCCGGCCGCGACCTTCTGCATGGAAACTCGGCTGCGGCCCTTGACGACACCCAGCTGAGCTGTTGCGGCTTTGTCCAGCTCTCGACCTTTATCTGTCCTGGGATTCCGGGCAAACACCCTTCAAGGGCTTTCATCCTTTCAACTTTTCGTCATCTTCCCATTCACGCCAATCCTTGGACCTCCCTATGCAAGAAGATGACCGAGAGGCACGATAGCCAGTTCCAGCCGAACGCTCTCCTCACCTGCACGGGCAAAATCGCCGGCTTACTCGATCACCAGATCATGACACATGCCCCGGCCTTCGAGCAAGACTATATCTTCATCGTCGTCCCCGATACATGGACTTTCCTTGACAGGGCCATGTCCAACCAGGCTTCTGCGACACAGCTACTGCCGACGACACCCAAGGGCTCAGTCGGCAACCCCTCGGACTATAGCGATGCGTTGGCCAGGTTTACCTCTACCAAAAAACGCAAGGCCGCCCCAAGCGGCGCCTCCCCCACGCCGCCTGCATCTAGGTCAGTCGATCCCCTTATGATGACATCAAAGCGGTCATTGCCCGATCCCGACCAAACCCCAACCATGAGACCGCGACTTTCTCCAGAAATTTCCACCATAGTCGAGGCCTGTGATAGTCGAGGCCCCGCCAAATCCGACACTTCCTCCCTTCTGTCCCACGAAGACCCCGGAGACTCAGAGACGGACACCGAGCCAGTCAATCACCCAGCCACATCCGCCTCTGGCCCTATCAGACCTCCGGCGTCAATCTCTTCCCGACCGCACCGCGCCCGACATCCGCCCAAGAATATTCTGTAAAGCAACGAACGAAACAACACAACATGACAAGGAACATGTTTCATCATCCTCAAACTCAAGTGCGACAGGCCCTAATGGGATATTTCATTCTCCTCTTGCTCTCCTTTTCACAAAGACAATCCAGTCAAAACTTCTCCAATATACTCCTTATTCTGTTTATATCCACCACTTATAGCACCTGTAAATCCTCAGAGCCTTCCACTCGCCCACACATGCATTACCCACCCACAACTCTCTTCACCCCTGCCGCCTCTCCACGCCCTTTGCGCCTTTGCAAAGCAAAATCTCCCTCCAGCGGCCTAGGCTGCCTCTCTGACGCTCTGTCTCGATTTCACTCACGATAATGCTCTACGTCTCTCGCCGGATCTCCATCTCATATCTCTTATCTCACTCTTCTTCCTGTCTTCCTCTCACTTCCCCTGTCTCCTATCTCCTGTCACCAACTCTCTCCTCTCGCCGACTTTCTCCTGTCGCCATCGCCAACTTTCGTTCCGAAAGGCCTCTTTGCGCGAGCCGCGGCTGGCGAGCCTTCCCCTCGTCCATCAATAATTCAGCCCGAAGGGCGTTTACTCAGTCAGAAAGCAAGGCATAAAACCTCCTCTGATTGGCTAATTGGCCTGGCCCGTGCTCAACTCGTGCGCGGATTGGTCGACTGATAACGTCACCAAAGGAAGGCCCGCAAAAACTACCCCTGAGCGTTGACTAGGAAACTAGCTTGCTTGGCAAGCTCTTCAGGAGTTTTCAGTTCTTCCTTTCTTCCATGCGGTCAATTTGTTGCGTTGCTATGCACGATTTTGACTGAATAGCCCCCGTGCCCCATACTCCTTACACTAAACTACATGGCGGCTGCTCCTTTCTGTCGAACCTGTCAAACCCATCAGTTTGCTAACGGTATCTAGGCTCACACATGACCTCCGGCTGCCGGCCTACCTCTCAAGATTCCCTGGCTACCCTGTCTCCGGGAAGCAGTGCAGTTTCCTCCCTGATCATTCAGACCTGATCTAATTACCTGAAAGACAGCCTCCCATCGAGATCTATCACGGTATTACACGTAGGACGTCGCAAAGCCTCCCTGCCCGAGCGAAATCGAGCAGTCTAGGTGTTTATGGTGTGGATACATATACAGCCAGATGGAGGACGATATACCCCAGGCGGTTCGGAACTGCCATACCTGCAAGCAATACCTGCCCGAAGTCGAATTTCGAAGCGTCAAGGACCCTACGAAGTTTACAAGAGACTGTGCTAGCTGTAAGGCACGCCGAAAGGAACGGGTAACCGAATCTCGAGCCGCCGTTGCCGCAATGCGGAATATCGCCTTGAGGCTATCGCCACGCAGAGCCAGGAAGAGGACGGATTCGCTAGCTAACCTGACGCCTCCAAAGCGGACTGCGCCAACGCCTGCGTCTGTGAACGGCCTACAACCTCCTGTCATGCCTGCTTTATTCCGTGGCCAGGCGCCTGCACTGGGACTGCCTATACCTCCGCTGGGGCCATCTACCCTAAGTGCTGTTGGGGACCTTCCCTATCCCTCCTACCCATGTCCTGCCAACAGTAGTTCTGGGCACGCCGATTCAAGACACTGCTTCTACGGCACCTGTTGTGCAAGGCACCCTGTACCACAGGAATCGCTTCCTACCACTCCTTCATTATTGCCACAGTGTCATCGCCGCGGCCGTTATACTCGTCAAGGCACACAGCCTCAAGCGCGACAGTTTGATCAGAGTATTGATCCGCTTTTTACAGGTGACCTTAACTTGCCTGCCCTTAGTGAGGAAGATCAAGCTCTTGTGAGGGAGTTCTATACTGCGCTGAATGACGACAAGATGCATAGTTGTATTCGTTGCCAGGAGCGTTGGTTCGATATGAAGCGAAATAGCTTGAAAATCTGCAGCCGCTGCATTGGTCGAGACAGGAAGAAAGCCCCTCACGAGCCCTACTTCTTTAGCGCTGCGAACAACCTTGACTTCGGGAAGTCCCCGGCAATCTACCTGATCTAACAATGGTCGAGGAGATGCTCATTGCTAGGGTTCACGTACACGTGAAGGTCCTGCAGGTACGTGGCGCTCAATATAAATATCGCGGTCACGTTGTCCACTTCCTTCGCAATGTTGGCAGGCTATTTGAAGAGCTCCCAGTCCTACCTGAAGAGCTAGATATCGTCCTCCTGCGGCCTCCTAATATGGAGGGCGACCCTCGCTTCCGGCAACAGTTTGCTCGCGATTTCCGGGTACGCCGCTCATGCCTGTTGGCCTGGCTGCATTACCTACAACGCCACCACCCGGGCTATCGCGATATCGCCGTGAGTCAGGATCGCCTGCACCGGCTTCCTCTTGATGGCAACATAGTTGCTTCCATTGCCAGCCAAGTGGCTGACATACCTGACGGCGAGGTCCCCCAAGGCCCCGTTGAGGAGGCTGTGGAAGAGGATCCTAGCGACGCCGACGCATCAGCGATCCCGAATTTGCAAGTTTCCGATACCGAATTGAACGCTCTGCAGTCCCGATTTCTTGATGGTACCCCTAACCCTGAGCGCATGACTGATCTGGAGTATATGCCGCGTAGCGCGCAAACTCTCCACCGGATGCCGCTGCCTTCCATTCGCAGGACCCCTATCGACGAATTCAACCGTTCCCAGCCGCTGCTAACGCTCGCGTTCCCTACCCTCCTCGACTCCAAGAGTGGAAAGCAGCTCCTGAGGCGGCGCGCATGGTCCTGTCCCGGCAACTACTGCGAGACAACGCCCACATCGCCGCTTACCACTTCCATAAGCGTTATACGCTGTTTAGGACTATTGTCCTGAAGCAGAAGTTCAACCTAACGGACTTTTGGGGCCGTTACGAGTGGCAGGGCAGGGGGTCCAGTCACCACCACGGCCTATATTGGCTAAGTGGCCACCCAGACTTAGATCCTGACAACGATCAGTCCCGGGAGCAATTCACCCGCATCTGGGGATATCACGTATCTGCTGTCAACCCAGAGCCTCAGCGAATACAGGCGCCTGGGGAAGGGAATCCTGATCGGCAATCTATTGGAGCAGCCCTTACGGTTCAGTTCCTATCAATGGTGGTCAACCGCGTGCAACGCCACCGCTGCAACAACTACTGTATGCAGCTCAATAAGCATACCAAGCAGGTGGAGTGCCGCTTGGATTTCTCACGGACAGCGCCTGCTAGCCTCCCTTGACAAGGTTCCTCATTCTAAGCACTGGAACTTCAGGGCGAGAGGAACGATGGCCAGATTAACCACTACAACCGCTTGCTTACCGTTGCGTGGCTAGCCAATACAGATGTTTCGCCCTGCACGAGCCTCCAGCAGGTAATCGATTACGCGGCCAAATACTGCTCCAAGTCGGAAAAGAAGAGCGAGTCTTTTGCCCAGATCGGGAAGGCCCTGATGCCCCGGGTCAAGGACCACAACCCCCTTATTTCTTTCACGTCAAAGCTCCTCAATCAGCTGGTTGCTGAGCGGGATTACTCGAAGCAGGAGGTCAGCCACTTGCTCCTCGGCCTGCCGTTACAGGAAGGCTCACGAACCTGCCTGTACGTTTGCCGTAATCCTGACAGGCATTCCCGCTCCTCCGTATTGACGGCGATGAGGTGGACGAGGCCCCAATGTTTACGAAAAGTACACTCAACGCCCGGAAGCCCTAGCGGACCTAAGCTACGTCTCCTTCCTCAAGTGCTGGAATATCCGTCCTAGGGACCCTTCCAAGTGGAAGCAATGGCAGCCAGTCAACGTTAACGGCAGACCTCGTGTGTTGGTTTACTTTCCTCGCTATCAGGCTGATCCAGAAGGTCAACAGTGGCCAGATTACTGCCGTGTAAAGCTAACATTAAACCACCCACATCGGCGGGGTGATGATCTCCTCACATTTTACGGCCAGCTTTTTTGTTCTCACGCTGAGGCCTTCTCCTATTGTTGGCAGCACCACAGTCATGGTGATGACCATTACGGTCGGCCAAAAGAGGCTCGATTACATCCCCAAGATGATCAATATGAGGCTCTGCCTGTGGAGGAAGAATTTGATGACGAAGACTGGATTCGCCTCGCCGCCCTTTTACCTGGGAACCCCCTTACCCAGGAAGATCTTGACCTTCTTGGCCGCCGTGATATCGATGTCAATTACGACTGGACACGGCATGTGGGTACATATCCGGAACTTCGAGACGGCTACTGAAAGACCTTATCGCTAGCCACCCCATGGCCAACGATGTGGAGGTCCTTGGCCTCACTGGCGTAATACGCTGAATCCGCAACAACGGCTCGTGTACGACACATTCATGGGTCACTTCCAGGCGAAAAATCCTACTCAAATCCTTCTCCACGTTGATGGTGGTGGTGGCACCGGCAAGTCGTTCCTTATCAAGGTGCTTTCCTCCCATCTTCAGGCGGCCGCTCTACCGAATCCTAGCCCTATTTGCCGCGTAGCGCCAACAGGCGTTGCGAGTAACCAGATACGGGCAGCACCATTCATTCATTGCTACGCCTCCCAGTAGGTGGTGCTTTTACCGACCTTCCCCCAGCCGACGCAGCCGCCCTTCAGTCCCGCCTACGGCACGTCAAATACCTCGTTATCGATGAAAAGAGCATGCTGGGGATTGAGCAGCTCGCGCGGATCGATTCCCGTCTGCGACAGGCCTTTCCACAGCGTAGCCTCGAGTTCTTCGGTGGTGTGAGCGTCTTGCTTGTGGGCGATTTCTTCCAGTTACCACCAGTCCGGCAAAAGCCCCTGTATTCGACTAGCACCAGCCTGTCTTCGTTGGAAAGGAGAGGGCATGTGGCCTACCGGTTATTTGACCGCACCGTCTTCCTGACCACGGTACAGCGCCAGGCTGGTGATGACCAGGCTCAGTTCCGTCAGGCGTTGCAGGAACTGCGTGAAGTCAAGTTATCCATACCGTCCTGGAACCTCCTTAGCAGTCGGGTACAGGCCAGGCTAACGCAGAGCGAGGTTGACAGCTTCAGGGCCGCTTTGCGGGTGTATTCTACAAGGGCCCGGGTCAACGAATACAACTACGAGCATATGGTGCATCTCAACGCCCCGGCAGTACAGGTGGAGGCAAAGAATCAGGGCAAGGGCGCGGGGCAGGCACCAAGCGACAATGCTGGCAATCTATCTAACAAGTTCCCTGTTGCTAAGGGCGCCAGGGTAATGCTCACTACTAACCTATGGCAGCCAGCTGGCCTAGTTAACGGTGCTCAGGGTACTGTATACGATATCGCCTGGAACGCAGGCGCCGAGCCATTGGAAGATCCCCCGGCCGTTATTATGGTGGACTTTGATAGCTACGACGGACCGCCATATCTAACAACTAACGAGGGCAGGAAAATCTCACCCATCCTCCCAGTCAGGCGTGATTTCCTAGTGGGCAACGAGACCTGCGCTCGCACGCAGTTTCCTGATGGTGGCGTTTGCTATCACTGTTCACAAATGCCAGAGCCTAACTAAGGATCAAATAGTTACTGATCTCGCACACGCGACTTCCAGGCCGGTATTAGCTATGTTGCTGTGTCACGGGTTACGTCGCTGCAAGGCTTACTCCTTGAGGCGCCTTTCGATCGTCAGAGCCTCTATAACCACACGCCGACGGAAGGTTTATAAGCCTGTCTCCCCGTGCTGCGTTTACGGCTAACTACAAAGGCTAAGGCAGGGATGAAGATGCGCCTCGCTGACCAACAACGGCGTCAGGGTCAACAGCTGAGCGATGCACCGTATCCACCACTCTACCTTGACTAAACGACGTCTTCCTATAAGCTACAGGGAAGGGGGAGGTTCGATATAGGGTATATAGTTAGATTGGGCCAGTCAAGGAGCGGTTTAAACGGCTGGATGGCCGCTGCAGGCGAAAGGGGGGTTCTAGGGGGTCCCCCCCTAGGAAAGTTGAATTGCAGGTATACGATGTTCACCCTTCGGGCTGGATATTCAGCCGTTAAGCCCCTTGCATTGGCAACTTAACGGGTGTTCGAAGTATTTTAATAATTACACTAGCCGGCCGTAGCCCTAGAGCCTCTATTCGTTACCAATACAGGAAAAACCCTATAGCCGAAGCCCGGGATGAAAACCCGTATTCTTCCATCCTGTCTGCGCATATGTCTTTCAACGTTGAGCATCTTGTCGCCTATCGTGGCTGGTGGATATCGTAGGGGTTGGACTCGGTGACGTTGAGAGTTTGCGGCGTTGTTGAGGTGTTGGTTGCGTGGCTAACGCACTGCGCAGGCGGCCCGAGGATTTTTCGACCATCGGGCGAGGTCGTCCGCATGCGTGTGATGTCGCCCACACGGGTGCTTCGAGGCGGCGGTAAAATGACGGGAGCGCCCCCGCTAGGGATGACCCAGGTCCCTAGAGGCTGTGTTCCCCATTTGATAAGGCAGGATGGGCTAGTCTGCCGGTCTCGACCTCCCCCCAAAGGTCGTGCCCCCGGTCGGATTCGAACCGACTCCGCCACGAGGGCGGCCTCCAAAGCGTATGGCCAATACGCCACGAGGGTTTTAAGGGGATTAAAGTGGGTGAGCCAAAGCGAATCCCCTTAAAGTGGGGGCGGGCACGAGTAGTTGCATTACACAATTGACGTGTAGTTATTGATCTTCATCGCTTATATCCTCCGACCGACCACAAACTTCAGCTTTGTTTCAACTTTTCCCACGCCAAACAACAAAATTTCAATACTACAGCGATACACAATGGAGACGTCTTCTGCACATGAGGTTACAAAAGGGGTCCAGCCGAGGGTCGGATGGATTGGTATGCAATTTATCCTCCTGAACACGCATCGATCAAGATCAATAGTTGTTGACATCCGTAGGACTCGGCTCAATGGGCCAGGCCATGGCTCTCAACCTGCAAAAGCACATGAGCAAGACAGGCGCGCCGAATATCCGGTACTACAACCGCACGGTGTCCCGCGGCATCCCACTGCAGGAAATCGGCGGCGTGTTTTGCAATACAGCCAGGGACCTTGTTGCGGATACTGATGTCGTATTCTTGTCTTTAAGCGGTGATGCTGCCCTGGAAGATACAGTGGATGCCATCATACTCTCTGGGGATACAACCTCGGATCTCCGCGGGAAGATCATCGTGGACGCGTCCACCGTTCATCCCGCCTCGTCGACCAGGGCCGCATCACGACTGGCGGGAGCAGGCGTCGAGTTTGTTGCCGCTCCAGTCTCTGGAGCCAGCCCTGTCGCAGCGCAAGGCCGGCTACTCTGGATTGCTGCCGGGTCCGCTGATGCAGTCCGAGTTATCAAGCCGTTCGTTGTCGGCGTGATGGGGAGAGATCTCATCTATCTGGGCAAGGAGGTGTACCTGTCCAGCCTGATGAAAGCGGCAAGGTACGTGGCGAAGAACTGCTCGGCTCTGTGAGTGTGAGTGATACTAATGGTTCATATTATGATGTGGCAGTAACTTCTTAACGGCGGGTATGATGGAACTCATTGCCGAGGCCCACGTGTTTGCCGAGAAGACAGGCTTGGGTAGTATGGCGTTGGAAGGCTTGCTACAGCAGGAGTACGGTGACCAGGCACATGCCATGTCGCGACGGCTGACCACTGGTGTTTACATGCCGGCTTTGGGAGAGCGACCGTGGTCGGATGTTAGTCTCGCAGTCAAGGACGTCAGGATAGGTGTCGAATGCGCGGTCAAGGCGGGTTCAAGGCTCGAGATCGGCCAGCTGGCTCTCAGCCACCTCGAAGAGGCGAAGCGTTACTCCGATGCAGTAGGCCGGCCGCTTGACTCCTCGTCCTTGTATGGGGCCCTTCGACAACTGGCAGGCCTATCGTTCGAGACGGACAGAGTGAAAGCTAGAGACGGGGGCGCTCAGGAACCGTGAAGGGGGGACGCTTTAACCTGGCTGCTATTGGATTGCACCTCGGAACTGTGTAATGACCCAATGGCTACTTGCGATATACCATATTGTTAGAAACTGTGGAATATGTTGTAGTGCAAAGAAGCGTCGTGTCGTCATGTTCTCCAAAGACGCCGCCAGTGATGTGATTGGATTGGATTGGAGCTGGATCCGAGCCTCAGTCCAGTCCAGTCCAGCCGTGCGCGTAGAGAGCCTCCAGGATATCCAGAACGGATCCAGTTCCTATGGAAGTGGGTGTACCACTCATAGAGCATAGTTATACCTAGACCACATTACCAATCGCCTCGTGGCCTCACTTTTTGCTGGTTCTCGCGAAGGAGAGAGCAAAAGTGGGCATAAAAGTGGATAAAGGGACTTTTCGAAGGTCGAGTATCATACGATCAGATGGTATGTGAAATGCATCCTTTTATATCCCTCCGTGCCTTCCCTGTGTTCATATCCCGTGTTCAGGTATAATGTACATTCTATCAGGAAGAGGGCACTTCTTGCCTCTCACTGAAGGCCGCGTAAGCCATCTACGTCAGCACATTCAGCTCGATCTCCCCGATCAATAGCTTTCCAAGCTATTAGGTCGATAGTTCAATCTCTTGAGGTCCCCGAGCCAGTAAAGATATACCGGGCTCCTTGGAGGATCCCGATCGAATAGGAGATCCTCCGGACCCCTCAGTGGACCACAAACCTCCCTCCTTACCTGGTTTCGAGCTGTATTACCTAGAGAGACCTAGAGGCCTCACTACGTTCGGACCTTCTTCTCGACACTGGTTGGTACCGTAGCGCGCGTCCTGTTGTCACCAGGGGCAACCCTAACCGCACGGCCTCTCGGCGATTGTCGCACGGCCTTGTGACCGGATTAGGCAGTTGCGACACGAGAGACTTCGGGCCTAGGCAATTTTATTAGCAAATAGATGTACCTATTGTACCGACGTTTGCCGCACCATTAAACGCGTAAGACTCGTGGGTGTCACAGGTCCCGGGGCCGGCTGACCGGTCATCCGGTAATCGGATTACCGCCCCGCCCCATGCAAAACCATGTCGTTTTCGAAGGTTCGGCCCTGCGGGGCTGGCGTTTTCTTAGTCGGATTACCGCCATCGGACGGCAAAATCGAAGGTCCACGCCCGCGGGGCGCGGCGCGAGACCTTCGATTTCGGTCTCGCTCACGCGCGTTGCGCTCCATCTCCCTCCTCCCACCTCCTCCCCCCCCTCCTCCATTGCCACCGTCGCGACGGCGACCGCCTGCACCATGTCAAACGCGATAGAGGATTCCCGGGTCAGGGCGGCCATTGAGCACTACCTGTTAGATCTGGAGAACACCCAGCCGAAGAATACGAAGCGAAATTATCGTCCCAAGCAGGAAGAATGGAAGGCAAGCCCGCATGCGCGCCCTGCAATCTTCATGTAGATCCATGCATTGACCGCCTCACAGGAGTGGTGTCAAGCCAACTGGCCTGCGATCCCGGACGTTTGGCCGGCCTCGGTACCACAGGGCCAACAGCTACCGGGAGACCTGGTCGATGAAGGAAAGCTCTTGCTCTTCATGAAGGAGGTAGTGGCATCACGTCCTCCAAAAAAAGGAAAGAGGGTCGCCGATGAAAGAAGACGACACCTCGAGGCTCAGGAAGCCAAGAGGGCCGTGAAAAGACGCAGAGCACCATCAGGTAACAGATGTTGATCACGGGATGTGGTCGTCGGACTGAGCCAGCCCATCATTCTAACACCCAGCTTCCCCCAGCAGATACCATCGTTGTAGGCGGCGGAGGTAGCGAATACGAGTCAGACTCCGACTTGGAGTTGTATGAGTCCACGCTCAAACTACAGTATAATACTGTACGGGGCTACGTCTCGGCCATACAGAAGCTTTACGACGAGCAGAAGAGCCGGGAGTCAATCCTGCGGCCCGGCCACAGGAGTGGCACTGAAGGCGCTCAAACGCAGCATTCTTGCAACGACTTGGAGCCGGAAGAGGAAGGAATACATGGACAGGGAGTTGGGACTCTCAGAGATGTGTATGCGCCGGCGCAGATACCCGACCACACCAACGTGGCATGGTCCGAGAGGAAAGAGATCGCCTGCGCCCTGAGGACGCAGGTGGACTTTCTGCTCGGGAACCATATGCTGCTGCGGTCCGGCAACCGCCTGCCGATGGAGTTGGCAGACTGCTTTCCCTGGACTTACCCAACGAGGGCTTCAAGGCCCAGGGGTATACCACGAAGGCGCTGGTTGTCGTGATGAACTGTGGGAAGACCAACCAGCACGGCCGCATGGAGTATGGATCTGCTCTGCGGCATCGAGATCCGCGGTCTTGTCTCATCGGCGCCCTCGCATTCTGGCTTTTCTGGCGCTGGCAGGTAGAAAAGGCGGAAAGGTTTCCCGTCTTCCAAAGAAGCGAAGACTGGTATGAAACGAAGGTGCTCCGCCGATCGGCGAAAGAGCCTCAAGGTAAGCGTGATGGCATTCACCGGAATCCCATAACTCAGAGGGTGCATCGACCCTTTCACTCACCGAATATACAGCTCCGTTGTCGGGCCAGACTGCCCGAGAATGGACGTCCAGGTTCTACAAGAAGGCCGGCATCAAGGTCTCCAAGGTCAGTCATGCGCCTAGAGTGGCCGCGACGCAAAACGCCGACATGGCCGGAGTGGATGAAGGCCAGGCATGTCATCTGCCCTAGGCAAGCCGCCAACCCCTGGCCTGGGCTGACCTGAACTATACAGATCCGCCGAGCCGGTCGTTGGAATAACGGAGACCAAATGACCGGCTGCTATCTGACTTCCTGCCTTTCGAATTCATGAGGGCCGTGGCCGACTTTGACCCTGAATGGTCGGGGTCTTATTTCGTGCCCCGGGCCACCGTAAGGCCGCCTGTGGTGCTACTCGTGCAGGTCTGGCCTCAACTCGACAAATGGAAAGAGGCCCACAGTAGCCCTGTCTCAGATCTGGGGGTGGAGCAGAACATGGCCGCCGGCGCCTTCTTGGAACTCCTGGAGTGGCTTCGAGAGGTGCTCCTGCAGGACGCTGTCTTCCTTCGCGAGTCCTACCCCGACCATCCTATCTTTCAGGATCCGGTCTTCTCTTGCCCCGAGTTTGAAGCGTTCGCCAGCAAAGTTCAAGACACATGCACACGGGACCACGAAGACAGCCATACCACGGTCATTCAAAAGCGATGCCGGTGGTTGCGGAGAAGCTGCGCACAGTACTGACTCAACAGGTCGCAGCCGAGCAGTTAGCTGAGCGAAGACATCTAGACCTTTTGGGGGCTTCTTACGAACTATGCACAAAGTTGGATGAGTTTGCGCAGGCGACCTACACCGTCACCTTCAGCCCCGGCCAAGGTGCTGCAGGTCAACATGCGGAGATCGCGGGAGCTCATCAACAGAGGCGCCGCGCTCCACGAGAGACGGTCCTCAGGTCCGAGATAGGCCCTTCGCAAGCGGGCGGTCCGACATACGCTCCGCTCTCTCTAGAGCAGCAGCAGGGAATGGTGCAAGCGGGCCAGGGGCAAGCCCAGGGAAGAGCGCATGGCGAGCCGCCTGGGCCGCGCGAACCTCCGAGCTTCAAGCTCCCCCGTTCTGTCAAATCTGTACAGGAGCTGCTGCGTCTCTGGCGGCAGGGCTGGGGCGAAATGCCTTCTGTGGATTCTCTTGAGCGAGACTGGGGTGCTCGATGGCGGCCATCTGCAGAGAAGAATTACTTTTCCACGCGCAAGATCATCGTCGATGAGGTTCGGAGGCGGGCCCAGTCGGACGGCTGAACTGAAGATATCGTGGCGAGGCAAATGGACGAAGAACGTGGACCCAGCTCTTTGGATAAGTTGTTCAAGGCCATCCGAAAGGACAGGCAAGGCGAAAAAGGGACACAAACGTGCGTCGGGGCAATTCAACGTCGGTGGTAGCGAAAAGTCGATGGCGCAGTGATTTTGAACACCCGTCTGATAGAATGACGAGGACCTTGGCGGCGAAAGTGCCCCCAGGCCGTCAGGGGCTGCGTCGCTACAGTCAGCGGTAGTGGCCTGTAGACAGGGTATGCATCCGCTAAGCGCCGCTGTAGCTCCAGCGCGTCAAGGCTAGAAAATGCTTCAAATCACCGCAACCTCGCAACCGACAGGATGTAGGACCTTAGACAGGGTGCATTCTGATCGCACAAACGCAGGCTATCCAGTCGAACTGGTTTTCTCGTCGTCGGTCCCGGCTTTCGCGCTTTATGGCGCTCCGAAGATGACATCAACCCGGCAGAGGTGATGTCAAGGGCAAGCGGGTAATCGGCGGTAATCTGCGGGGTAATCCGCTGACCGCCCACCAAAGCCGGACCTGTGACATCCACTTGATGTCATCGCTCTGCGTGCGAGCTGCCACGCTGCAGCCACATTGTGCTTCCACTTCCAATAGCATTTGTTCTGCAAGACATTGCACTGCAGCCAGGCCCCACATCCTTTTCATGATGCACGCTCGTGCTGAAGGGTGGGCAGTGAATGCCCTACAGGGCGGGACACTCCGGTTGGCCTTAGAGGCCGGTTGTTGGTTCTTGGTTTGTTGCAGCCTTGCAACTAGTACTGTAACGGAGTCATACACGAGGTGCATGGTTCCTTTTCGGCGAAGACTGCGTCTACATGGGAGCATGTCGTATTTTGAACTAGAACCGGGCGACAGTTGTGAGCTATTTGGCTTCCATATCGATAAGCGAAGACGAGTAATACTGCCCCAACTGCCGCTTCGCAATAAGAGGTGGAGCGAGGAAGGGAGGCGACTTTGCCGCAGTCGCACAGCGAGCCGCATTCACGTGTTACACATCGAATGTATGTAGGGTTACTCCAGTCGATGGGAACCAACTAATCTACAGACAATGTGTTTTGGATGCTGCCTGGACCTGCAGACTGACCTGTCACTCTCAAAATCCTACGCTAGCTCTTATCGATCGCACTAAGCCTCCATAGTCCAGATGACGTTCCTTCCGTCTGGTCCACGCTCTGTGGTACGCTGGTGCATCCCAGTAGGTTAAAGTGGAGCCCAACAACGAACTGCGATGATGCATTAGCAGCACAGCAGACCAACAACGCAACGATAGTGCTCACCAATCACGAGTCATGAATAACCAAAGCGGCACGGGGTGCACTCTTTGTTGCCGCCGCCTTCCTCGTCCTTGACCATATTTTGCACTTATAGGGGGGGGGGAATCAGGTTTCTGCATGGGACGAAAGAAAGTGGAGCAGAATGTGGAGAGAGGAAGGTACGGCACGGTTAAAGCCTACGATTATATTTGCAGCCCTGAATTAAGTCACGTCAGGTGGCGCATGGCGCTAATTACCCCGGTCAACCCGCCGACCAAGGTTCCCGTTGGGGGGCTCCAGCGCAAGCAGAGCGAATTTTCCGCCTGTTCTCGCCATCTTTGCAGCCACGTAGCGCACCCGCAGCAACGTGCGCGCGGCTGCACTTCCGTGGGCAGGGGACGGCGGTCGAGGCGATTTTCATGGTATGGGTGTTTCGGATTTCAGTGGCCGTTTCGAAAATTTGGCCGGAAAGTCAAAGAATTGTTTTTTGCACGTATTCACCTTGCTCTGTGCTGAGCCAGTTAAGAAGCGGCAAATCATGGTACCCCCCTGGCGCACGAACTCCACTGATTGGCGCACTGGCGTTCCCGCTTATTGTCGTAAGGCAGAATTTCGGTAATATAGCATGTTTGTTGGAACGGCGCAGCAGGAAGGGCGGAGTAGGTCACCTGCCAGGTCACGTGGGGCATTCGGCTGAGATGAACCAATCAAGTATGGCAAAGAAGCTCTAGGCACCGCCTCGCAGATCATAAAACGAGCGATCACCCCACAACTATTTGTTACACCTTCCTGCGATCTTCCTACACGCTCTTCATGCCTGAGGCCGTCCACCGCGATGGCCGAGCCGGTAGGACTGGCTTCCGGGCTATTGGCCCTGGCTACGTTCGCCCTCCAATCCAGCATTACGCTTTACAGCACTGTCCAGAGTTTTCGAGACCGTCCCAAACGTGTGCGCGATCTCATTGACGAGCTTGAAGCTTTGAGCGGAGTCTTAGGCCCACTTACGGAGACGGTCAGTGCCGTCCATACTGTCGACCTCTCAGCGCTCGATCGACCGTTGCTGCGATGCGGCCATGCCTGTGCAGAGTTCAATCAGGAACTCATGAAATGCGTGTCGCAGTCCGGGGGGACTCGGACGACCTTTCGGGGGTGGGCTAAACTCAAGTACATGGGTGATGATATCGACGGATTTAGGCGGTTGTTATCCGGCTACAAGTCGACAATCACTATTGCCCTCACTGACGCCAATCTGTACGTTTCACGGTCTGCAAGCCACCACCCCCATAAAATAAACCATTCAGTAACAACTCTAATGTTTATGCTGTGAATGTAGCCGCGTATGCTCTGCCACCGCCGAGACCATTTGAAGCTACAAAGACCTTGTCGAGACAGCGCACAGTGACCTCCGGGCTCACCTCGAAAGTATCGACGAGAAAATAGGTGTTTTTCTCGCAGACGCCATATCGGAGACCGGCTCAGGCGCGCCAGAATTGCAAACCATGCAGGAAGAGCGATTGAGCACGCAGCGATGCCTTGAAATTTGTGACCAACTGTCGAAGCATATCGATGAATTTCAGCTGGCCACCAAACGCAGTGGAAGCTCGTCCGAAAATGAAGAGCCAGCTACGTTCCCCGAAATGCTCGTCAATGAGGGTCTGAATGGGTGCAGGAAGACCCTTGACAACACAGTCGTGAAACTGGAACAACACGAGAAGGATTTGTTCGATCGCTTGATGGGGAAAATAATGAAAGTGCCTGCTTCTGAGGGGGATACTTCCGAGATTGCGAGGCTGCGGGAAGAATGGGAAAACGCGCGCCAAAGCTTGAGCATTTGTTCTGAAGCAAACGAGCGCTTAAAGGAAAACATTAGCGTTATTGACAACTACGCTACAGGCGACGCCATGCAGTTCATGGTTTCGACTGACGGAAAGACGATTCACGGACAAAACAAGGGACTTGGATGGAGGAGCAGGCAAGTAGGGGGTCACGTTAGTGATGAAACTGTCCGGCAGATATCACGGGACATGATCACACTTAATATCCAAAGGCCCAAGGAGGAGGAATCTCAATCGCAAGACAATGCGTATCCTGGACCTGATGTCGGTGCCAAAACAGAGGCCAGGTCCCAATTTGGGGCAAGGTACGGGCGAGGCTTCATGCTATCGTCCAAGTCTTCTGATACACCCAAATCTCCTGGATCTTATTCGGGAAAGTAAACTGACTTTGGCGGACGAGGTTATGGGGGCAGGCCGTGGCCAGCCGCATCATTGTCGATTTGGACCACGCAAGGGACTATCTCTTCTTGACAGGCGGTTGTTGGTTAGGCAGCCATGCAGCGTTACTGTTCATGGCGGCGTGCCTGTATACGTGCGTCCAGTTGTTCAATCTGCTGATACGTCATGCTCCCTGTGCCCAGAGTGTTGCCGCTCATTTGGGGTTCCTTTGTAGTATTGAGCTACCATCCTAAGCTGGCCATCTGTCACGGGCTGTGACCGGCATGGTCGACTAGGAAGCGTTCAAGCCACCAATGAACAGTCGACCCGTAAACAGAGGCTACAGAATACGCACTCTCGTCGACTGTGGATGTGACTGTTACGCCGTGATCACGTGGCATCTTCCCAATGACAGATTCGTGGTCGATATATATTCTTCGTGTAGCCGAAGAGTACTCGGACCAACCCTCGGCGCCTGCTTAGCGAGGGCGACCGGGCCTACCATGCCCCACCCATCGCCTGTTACACCCCCTCACCGGTACCGCAAAAAGGTGCCTGGACCATACAAACTATATCAATTGAATTGAAGCCATTAGCCCATAATAAATTATAAAAGAAATACTACTCTGTAGTGCTTTCAATGTTTAATTGCCGTGTACTGTTGGGTTTCTGGTCTGTCTCCGCCAATGTGTAAGAAGGCGACGAATCAGGTGGCTCTACCCTCACTTCCCCTTCTCCTCTTCAACCTGACTAAATGCACCTTCAATCATATAGCACCTCTTCATCGCCCTGTGGAAGCATATAGACATTCCCTAATATATATCAGAGGTTTATGAACATATTATTAGGATTGGGGATCATTCTTTCCTTCCTTGGCCTCACGCGATGCAGCGTAGCCGCCGAGGCCTGAAATCTCTGATCCTTCAACACCAACTCTGCTCCTTGCGCTCAAACACTCTAGATATCTTTCTCAAAGTCTTCTCGAGGCTACTAGCTTCGAGATTTTTAGCCTGTGGAGTTGTCGGCTCGTGCTCCTCGTAGGTCTAGCTTGGCGTATAGCATCCAAAACCATATTTCTCTGTCTGGTTAGACTCAGTGAAAATGACGCATGACCTTGAAGCCACGGTAGTTGAGGTCTAATGTTAAGATCTCCAGTAGCGTTTCCCAGGTGTCTCGGGCGGTCATCGAGGGGGAGGAACCTGGCGCCTTGGAACGCTGTGGCTTCGTCGATCACGTGTAGCACAGGCTTTCCGCCTATTTGGACTACATCCGCGGTTATCTCGAAATTGAACTCGCGGTCGTCTCTAAGGGTAAACCTGAAGCGTTGGGGGGGGAGGTGCCGTTGATTTGACAGTGGTGGCACATCCTCGTGATCTCACGGATTGACTGCTCATCAATATCATCATGCCCGGCACACCTAAGCAGTCGGTGGAGTCTAGCTGTGGCCGGGTGACCGAATCGTCGGTGAAGTCGTCGCAATTCGCGTTCGGTCAGGAATACTCTCGCAGTCTCTTCTTTACCTAGATGGAACCATGCGTGGCCCCATTTACGTACTGCGGGAACGCGAATGTCATCGCGGACGACTTCGTTGGTCTGATTGTTGAAAAACAAGCCTAGCCGGTCCATATCGGCTAGGAGAGGAGGAACGGGTCTTAGTGGGAAGAACGTGGAAATCAACGGGCCCGAATGCCGTGCGAATCGCGGTCGCACCGACAGACACAATCCGGGGTCCATCTCCAAAGGAGATGCCTGTCTGGCCTGCGCGGGTGGTATCGAGGGTAGCGCAGTGGTCTTCGCGCTGCCAGGCATGGAATTGGTCTAGGCCAGCGGTTGACACGTCGGAAGCACCTGTGTCGAGCATGATGCCCTGATAACGCGTTGTGTAACGGTCATCGACAAGGAATTGTTGTGCCGGGGCCTTTTGAGGAGCGCTATAGGCATCTTCCTTAGTCAGACGGTGTAGAACAGCGTAATCTGCGAGGAATGATTGCGTGAAGAACAGCGAGCCAATCGCTGGGTCTTCATCGTCAATTTCATCAGCAGTATCATAGTCAGGGACAGGGGTCTCGTCAAGTTCATGACCTTCGAATTCGGCGAGGAACATGGCGAAGTCCGGGGTCGTGTCGGAGGCATTGTGGGCATTAGGAAATACATCCGTGATTGTTTCCGTTCTTCTATGGTATGCTTGGTAGACCAACAGCCAGCTTTGCCGCAGATGAAGCACACCTTCTTTCTCTGCGGCTGTCGTTTGGGGTTCGCGCTGTTATTGTTGCGGAAGGGGGGTCTATTCTGTTGATACTTGCGGTCGGTATACCATTGGGTGCTACCGTTGTCCGTGATCGCAAGTTCAATAGAGGCGCGGAGGTCGGCAAAGAGTTGTTCGCAATGGGCGGGGCTTTGTACAAGGCTTGCTTGAGCTCAGGCGTTCCACGGCAAGCGCGGATGACTGCGTTGCGGAGGTTGCTTTCGCCAGCTATTTCCGGCCCAATCGCTCGTTGACACAATTGGAGCTTGTCAAGCATTATATCAAGCACAGCGTGGAGGTCCTTGTCACTGTGCTTGCTACGGACACTGTTGAAGGTGATAGTTGACCAGTCCGTATGGTAATGCTCCAGATTCACGTTGGTATCGAAATGTTGCTTAAGTTGTCGGTAAGCGGCGGCGAACGTGAGGTCTGGGTCAAGATAAAGGTCATAGTAGGTCTTTGCTCGACCTGTAAGGGCGCGGGGAGAAAGGCGTGTAGCTGACTCGGGGACTTCAACCGAACGGCAGGTGGTTAGGAAGTTCCTGATCTTATCGTCAAGGAGATCGTAAGGTTGACCTGAGTAGGTATCTTCCTTATTCCAAATCTTGACGAAGAGGGCGAGAGTCTGGGCATTGGTCGGGGTGTTCGGCACGTCTCGTGGTGGCAATGTGCGGTATGGGGTGTATTGTGGCGGATCTGACTTGGCTCTTGGGGGAATCGCCACTGAATTGGGGTAGGTAATAGGGGGAGCTGGTGTTACCTGGGGAGCTATCCTTGTGCGGTGAGGGAAGGTGTAGCTCGTCGGAGCGTTTGTAAAAGCGGTTGGGGTGACGGATTGAGTGGCCTGCTGGACAGGTTGTACAGGCGGTTGAATAGGTGGTGAGAGGGGCAAAGGGATCGCTGCGGGCACGGGTTGTGCTCCTTCGTCGATGGAGGTGACCGGGGTATCCTGGGTTTCCCAATATTCTTCGGTGGCGAGGGAAGCGAGAAGAAAGTCATGTCGGCCTCTTCTCAAGGGCCAGTGATCACTTCCTTCGTACGAAGATAGTTGACGAATGCAGCTCGAATCGTTGGCTCAATCCTTCCGAAGAGTGCACTATTCCATCCTTCGAAGTGCTCTTGGAACATAATAAGAGTGTCGATTCTTCCTACATTGGCTCTCTCATAGTCGGTCCACGCACGGGCGAGTTGTGTGATCAGGTGGCGTGGCGTTGGCTCTTCCTCTGGGTTCACAGGGGTATGCCAGAGGGATAGGTCAATGTCTGACATGTCGATCGGTATGCCAGTATATTTGCCCAGCCATCCTTGCACTCTCTCCTGGCTTGGGGGATCGCGAGCAATATAGATAGTAGGGACGGGGGTATTACTACTGCCTCCCGGGGCACTGCTGCTAGGTCCTGCAGACATAGTGTCGGAGGTGAATTGTAGTGATCAATTGTACTAATTAAAGCACAATCGCGAGGGAGTCGGGATGCGTTGCTGACGCAGCTAAGCTATGTCTTTTCCTTTCCTTCGAACGGTCGGTGAGTTGCTCGGCGGAACGGCAGTTAGGAATAGCAATAGGTTAGCCGTAGGTTCTGCTTCTTTCTTCCGAACGGCACAGTGAGTTGAAGGCGGATCGGAATAAGGAGTGTCTCCTGCTCTTAGCACAAACTTGTCGTCTTCGAACGGTCGGTGAGTTGCTCGGCGGAACGAATCACGGAGTTTGTCTCTTCTACCCGTAGAGGAAAAGTATCACTTTCTCCGAACGGCACGGTGAATTGCAGGCGGATCAGATCGGTGACTCTTCATCTACCTTGCTGCTCTGTGGCTCCTTCGGGACCTGGAACCACTGATCAGTGATGGTAGGCACCTATGTGCCTACAGATACGCATGCGCACAAGCTGTAGGCTGAGTCACAGTCACGACAGGTAGGGTAACCGGTGATGACTTCAATTGTAACTAACTAGGGAAGAGGAAGCTATTCACAAGAAACGGAATGTGCACCCGGTAATGGGGGCATGCAGCCGGGGCTGCGTGCCCTGATCGCGGGGTAGGGTGTCACGTGGGAGTCGTGCATGAACCGTGATGGTATCCCGATTGCACGGGTTACTCAGCAGGTTAGTATTCCAACAAAAAATATATATATGAATTCTGTACACAATTTTTCATATTGCTGCGACGTCTAATAATATTTTCAATTGTTGTTCTGGTTGCAGGATTAATTTTCGCTATGGCTTGCCGGTCGGGCAGTCTGTTGCATGACGTGGTGCGTTGCATGACGCAGTGAGGTACGTTATGGGGTACACTATACCTAATCGGTAAGTCACATGCACTCCTCGAGCAAATGGCCTGAGTGCCGTGTCATCAATCTTGGGCGTGTGCGGAGAAATTTCATACGAAATAAAGGACTATCTTCAAACCCATTTTCGCTCACAACCACACGGGGTTCCGTCAATTGAATACAGCCACTCGATTCCTCTGCTGCTGTTCCATAATTGATTGAAGTGTGGGGGATGTCGGCCCAAATTCAGCGTCGTCAGAGTGCGCGATTAAACCCGCCCACTGTCTCCCTGGCCCCAATGCCTGAGCAGATCGCGTCTTCAAACATGTCCAAAGCGCCTCGCGAAAAAGCGAGAGGGCCTCAAAGACGCAGTAAGGCGCAGAGAGTAGACGATGTATGTCGATTCATGAGGAAAAAAGACATTACATTACGAGAGTTTATCCACGTTTACGCGACGACTCAAGGGTCCGGTGGTTATGGGGAGCGCCCTGCTACTCGTGCCAAACGGCTCACAGAGGCTGTCTACGGCCAGCCAGAGGTCTTAGACGCGCTGCGACAACATGCCGCACCTCGTGCGACAGGTATTGCCACCATCAAGGCGCTGAGGAAGGAAATGAAAGCACTGGAAGAAGCCGGAGAGATGTTCAGTGCTTGTCAAGTCGACGGTGACCAAGAGAAGAGTCTACCTGCTGACACGGGGAAAAAGAACCGGTCAAAGGGTCAGAAGGTCGAGGACTATGAGCGCATACTTGGCGACATGCAATTTGAGAAGATGTATGAGCAAGTCGGCACTCATGCTCCTCTTCTCTGTGGATTGCTCAATGGTCTCATGGCGCCCAAGACGGAGAGGAAAGATCGACCACCAAGAGATCCTGCAAAGTTCAACCATAGGATTGCGATAATCACGTCGATTCTTTGCTATTCTAGGGCGTCCGAAGGGAGCAACAAGTTCCCCCGGGTGTTTGGTGCCTTCCTACACTCAAATGGCGTGAAACGGCGTGTCCTCGATCTTCTTCACCAGTTGGGGCTTTGCGAAGGCTATAAGGGGGTCCACAGGCATCTCGAAACCGTGGCAGAACAAGCAAAGGCATCCTCGCCGGCTCTCAGTGTTGACGTAGACTGATCGCAAGCAGGGAACGGTCCGTCGATACGGTCAGCAACTAGATGCCTGCGTTGTTTATGACAATTTCGATTATCGAGAAGGTATTGTCGGGAAGAAAGACAGACATCAGATATGTGTCAATTGCAGCGCACCTGTTGGAGCGCGTTCCACTTTTGCCTGCATGGCGCAATGGTCTTCGCAACATCGATTCGATGTCGAATCTGTCATGGTCCCATTCGATTCGCATCGAATCGAACGTGCCCTTTTTCATTCGACAGACGAATCGAACAGGGGCACATTTTGGTCGCCATCGAATCGAACGGCTCCCAGGCGTTCGACCCGATTCGATCGATTCGATCGAATGAGTGACGCGGTTCGCGGAAATCACCGCGGGGAACCTTTAAGCGCGTCTTCTCAGACGCGTCAGTCAGCCCCTGTCGGTGGCTGACGCGACCAAGCGTGATTTAGCGTCTATCGACCCAAACCAGGTCAAGGCGTTAAGACATGTTGGTATGTACAGCCAAACCCCCCATAAATACGTGACATAATTAGTATCTTGCAACTCCAGCAAACATGCTCTGCGGAAACCCATTGATGGCTGCTCTATAAGATCACGACGAAGCTCTACAGTGTACGGCCATCATAGGCTCTATGGCGACGTTGCATACGTGCGGTATGTTGGAATGAAATCTCGGTCATCAGGTGGGATTGATGCCATAGGCGCCAGAGATAAGATAAGATATGTATGTATGTATGTGTATTTTTCGTCCAGCGGCCGTGAGGCCGCTCAGGTCCCGGTGGGGCACAGGACGTGCTGAGCTAGGGCTGTCTACAGTTTCCCCTCGCAAACGTAAACAAACCACCATCCAGCATTTCATCGGCTCTGAGGCGCTCCGTGTTGAACCTGGTGCCCGTCAGCGGGTCGTACAGGCGCGGCAGTGAGATTGCCATTCAGTTTTGGTCTCCAAGGGACCGTTGTCGGAGACTGCAGAGCGCAGCCTCAGTTGACCCGGCCGGGCAAGGGTGTTGCAGCACCCTCTGCCTGGCCGAATCCGGAAGTTGAACAAAGGAAAGAGGTGAGGAAAGATGATACAGCCGCCTAGTGGCGAGGGCAAGCCCATTCAAAGAAGGAGGTCGCCTTCGCCAGCTTGACGAATCTGTCGAAGTCTCTGCCTATTGCGCGATTGACTGCTGCAGTCGGTGAGGTGTCAGCCTCATCCGATGCCGCGGCTCGATCTTTCGGCAATAAAAGACATGGTTTGGCTCTTTTCGTCGGCCACATGAGCACGTCAGTCGCGCATCGTCGTGGTTGAACCTCTCGTGGTAGTCGGCAAAGTCCCCGTGACGGGTTCGGGCTGCAAGCAAGTGATGGAGTAGCGGTCGGGGGAGTTTGAGCTCGGGGGCAGCCGGTCGTCGGCTTAGGTGCAGTGGCTTGTACTGTTCGGGTGCAGAGGCTTCCCACCAGGCTTTAACTGCACTTTAGGCTGCTGCCCAGCAGCCCTGCGCAGATATGCCAGTGTCGGGACAGCGCCTGCGGGCTCGGGAGAGGTTCCTGCTTTCGCTAAGGCATCGGCCTGCTCGTTGCCTGGGATGCTGGTGTGGCCGGGGATCCAGCGGACCTCCGTGGCACCGTGTGCTGTGGCCAGGGCCTGGAACTCGAGGAAGACATCCTGGGAGGAGTCTGCCGGCATGCCTCTGAGGCATGTTGCCGCCGCGATGTTGTCGAGACAAACGACTACCCTCTGCGATCGTGGGAGGCTTAGGGCAGCGCGCAGGCCCTCGAGCGCGCCTTTCGCTTCTGCATCAAAACCTCAGCGGGCCCAAGTCGGCCGCAGCCACTTAGGACGGTTTGCCCATCCAGATGGATGGCATAGCCATAACCGACCGCTGCATCCGAGGAGAGCGATCCGTCTGAGTAGACGACCAGAGTGTGTGGTGGCACTGACCGGAGCCAAATGCGGAAATCCGCTGCTGACTGGTCTTTCGGGGCGGTTTGCAGAGGCAGCGCCTGATCGTCGCCGAAGCGGCGAGGGAGGAGAATTGGCCGCCTGCTACAAGGCAGCAGCTGGTCACTGCGTCGAAGTCGGGTCCGGAAGCCTTCTCGCGGCACCTGGTACTTCAGTTTGATCGACCTGTGGATGACAGGGGGCTTGGGCCGGACTGTACGTTTCGCAAGCGGATGGGCTTCATCGAGAGACTTGAGGCGGGCCGCGAAGCGCATGCGACGCCCCTCGAGCAGTTGTATCACCGGTGGAATGCCGCTCTCTCGATGGAGGGCATTGATCGGCGTCGTCCTCCAAACAGGCAGGATGGCTCGGATGGATGTGTGAAGCGACTTGTTCATCTTTCGGATGAGTTGCTGTATCCCGGATGGTCCTTCTTTTGCTGGCTGGGTCCATCGCGGGCTGGTTAATCCGGGGTACCATGCCTCGGTGCCGTGGAGCAGCACCGGTTCGATACATGCTCTTACGGCTCTGCGAACGGCACCGGGAAGAGGACCATGTTTGGTGTTTGCCAGACTTTTCAAGTGATAGGCCACGACCTGTGCCTTGGCTGTCCACTTTTCCACGTGTGTCTTGAACGACAGGGTGCTGTCGAGCCAGATGCCTAGCCATCGCAGTGCTCGGTCAGGGCGCTTCTCTGAGTCGCCGTGAAATATAGGCGGGCAACTTTAGGTTTGCTTCGACAGAAATGCATGACCTCAGTCTTCATCGGGTCGAAGGCGATGCCGTTGGCGGCGCCCCAGGCCACAAGTTCGTTTACATAGCGCGACGCTCTCTCGGCTGTCTTCTCCAGGAGTTACCTATGCATAGGATACCCGTGTCGTCTGCGTAGCCGAAGCGCCCCTTCGGCTTCCCTAGGCGGTAAATTGGTTCCGTGTACAACAGAAAAGGATGGGCGAGACTGGTGATCCCTGGGAGGCCGCATTGGAGAGGCGAGCTGGGCGTGGTAGTGTCCTGGTATCTGACGCGCGCCGAGCGGTCATGCATGAAAGAACCAGCCCATCGAGCGAGATGTTCTGGCCACCCCTGCTCACGGAGGCGAAGGATCAGCCTGTTGCGGAGGACAGTGTCGAAGGCTCCTGGATGTCCATAGTCACCAACGTGGCAACTTGTCCGCGGGCAAACGCCTCTTCAATGTCATGCAGCAGAGCGGCAACAAGGTCAACGGCAGATCTCTTCGGGAGAGCGCCAGCTTGTTGTGAATGGAGGACTCCGTAGTGGACGGAGGCCCATGCCAGGCGCCGTGCGATGAGCCGCTCGAGACCTTTGCCTAGGCAGGACAGTAGGGAGATGGGTCGCCAGGCACGAGGGGTCGAGAGGTTCCTTCGGCCTGGTTTTGTTATCATGACTACTTCGGCCTCTCTGAACGGCTTCGGGTGATGGCCGATGGTGAGGCAGCCTTCGTACAGCCGCTGGACGTGGCTTCCGATAATATGCCATACCGCCTTGAGCATTTGTACCGTGATGCTGTCGGGGCCGGGAGACGTGTTTCCTGTCCGTAGGGTTGCGTCGCGCACTTCCTCAAGTGACACCTGTTGCGTGAAGGAACGGTTTTCGTTGTGTCGACTGGGATCCACGGATCTGGGATGTCGTCGTCCGCCGTGCGCCGCTCGAGCGTCGCCCGCCGTAGGGCATTGGCTTTGTCAAGCTGCGTCTCGTAAACTACATCGCCTACTTGTAGGGGCGGAGGCTGGAAAGCGCCCGGTGATCTCAGCCATCGGACCGCTTTGAATACGGAGGCGCTGTCAGTGAAGCTGTCGATCAGATTGCGCCAGTAATGTCTTTTGGCTCGCCGCACGACTTTCTGGAAGTCTCTCTTTGCAAGCTGGACTTCCCGATTGAAGCCGAGAGGGTAGACTCTCCTAATCGCGCGGTATTCCGCCGCGGCGAGGGCGCATTCTTCTGTCCACCAGGGCGCGCTGCGTGCCCCTTTGCGGACGGGGCGACCGGCGGCCTTGGCTGCCAGTTGGAGAAGTTCCACGAGCGCCAACGCCAGGAATCAAGCTCCTGGGGAGACGAGGCCGCGGCCGGGATAGCTGTTGCTCCGGAATCGACCATTTCGGCGAAACGAGCGAGCTCGTCGTCAGAGGTGAGGCGGACCTTTCCTAGCGGCACCGAGGCCGGAGCCAGGTCAGCGAGTGTCACGCTGAGCGTGAAGTGGTCAGAGCTGGTGGCCAGGTGTTCCTCCACGACAGCTTCGGATAGTGGTATGTTGGAGAAGGCGAGGTCTATTGTGTTGCCATGTGGGTTCGTTGGCACATCGGCAGGGTTGAGCAAGTTAAGGCCGTTCTCAGAGGCCCAAAAGGCGATGTCGTCACCTCGGCCATCGAGCCGGCCGGTTTGCCAGCTACTGTGTTTGGCGTTGAAGTCGCCTGCTACTAGGCACCTTCCTGGTGTGGTCCACTGGAGGAGCATCTCCAGTGCTTCATCGTAGTGCGGTTGTCGATAGAAGTTTACTACTGTTATGTTGTTGATGGTGAGCCAGAGAATGTCGCGGGTCGCCACAGGCCTCCTCTGATCTGTCATCAGGCAGGGACTCCGCCGGACATAGGTCATTACTCGAGGTCGGGTGCTGTTGTCGTCCCAGCTGTCGACTGGGGAGAAGGTATCGTAGGCTGGGTGGGTTTGGTAAGACATCGGCCGTCCTTGGCTTCCGTCCACGGCTCCTGGAGGAGCACTATATCGTATCGTTCAGAGTCGGCGAGGGCAAGGGCGCAGTCATGTGCTGGCGAGATCTTGCCAACGTTAGCTTGGAAGACTCGCAGGGTCTTCTTGTCGCTTTGGTTCACGCGGGGATGTCTCGTCATGGAGATAGTGCAATGGGGCTGATGCGTCGCTTCTTTGAAGGGGAAGCTGGTCTAGATTCGTTGCCCTCGCTCTGAGGCTGAGGTGTCGTGGTTACCATAATGAATGGCGGAGACATGGTCCTGGTCGAGCTTAGGACCGAGGTTTCGCTCCTGCCCCGTGACCTGTCATCTGGGTGCTCGGCTTCCTGGTCGTCGGACTGAGCAGTGCTCGGAGCTATGGAATTGAGAATCTCGGAGAGTCTCGTTCTAGCTGTTCGGGCTGGTCTATGCGCTCGAACTGTTGCTTCCGCTGAGCAAATAGTTGGGTGCCCATCTGTCGGACGAGGTTTTCCTCCTTCGTCAGGCGGCGAATGACGCCGTGTGATCGCTTGGGGCGTGCAGGGCATTTCGAGAAATCTGCGGAATGGGGTCCGAGGCAGTTTGCGCACTGCTCGAGGGCTACGCAGGTTTCACCGTCATGGCCGTTCCTTCCGCAACGCTTGCAGGACGGTTGTCGGTCACAGCTGTGTCGAGCGGAAATCCCAGCATTTGTTGCACTGGCTGGGCATGCTGGATCTGACGATGTGTCGGGCAAGTCGGCTGGAGCCAAAAGTCTCCAAGGTCTCTGGGTAGGCTCGAGGAAGGACACAATAAGCGTCTTACTCGGAAGGTCGCTTGAATCGTGCCGGCTGGGACGGATGCTGATGGGTGTGAGCCCGGTCTGGCAGGCGATTTCGTCTTTGACGGCCGCCTCGTAGTTGACTTCATTGCCCTGCAAGTCCGTAAGTCTTCGGGGCAGTTGGGCACGACGTACGTGTACCATTTGTGACTAATCTCCACCGAGGTCGCGTCTAGGTCCTCGGACCATTCCGACTGTCGCTGGACGATGAGGTCCCTGATGGTAGCGTCCGTTGTTCGGATGGCCCATCCCGAGTTTACCTTGAAAGCTGCCGGGACCCGGTGCAAGTCGATGCCGACTTTGGCGGCGATGTGGGTCCGAATTGCGTAGCTGCTGTGGTCTCGCGCCGGCGCTTCGGCATCGAGCCGCACGAAAACACGGAGGTCTTCTTTTGGTGGGGCGGGGATTGGTCGTCCCTGGAGACGGGAGATTGGTTGTTGTGGTCGTTGCTGTTGCGGGGCTGCGGCGGCCGTGGAGTGTGGCCCCGAGGGCTGGCTTGCAGGGCGACCGGCGGCGACGCTGCTGTAGGTCGGGGCGGGTGCGGAATTGAGGTCGGAGAGCGCCTGCTTCCAAAAGTCGAGGAAGCTGTTGGAAAATTGTTCCGCAAAGCTGTATTCAAGGCCGGACGTGTATTGTTTCGCAGTCTGTTCGAACGATTCACAAAAGGCTCGGAACACTGTCATTTTGGCGTTGTAGGCATTTGTTTGTTCAACTGCGAGCTTGTTGGCAGCTTCAACGATCGAGACCGGCTGGAGGTTGACGGACTCGGCCGAGCCAGGCCGGTTCGGGGTGGATTCACGCTGCGCTCCTTCCGTAGCGGCGGCATTGGAGAGTCTGATAAGGGGGCGTCGCCGCCGGTCGCCGAAACGCGGATGTGAGACCAATGGGACGGCTCGCAATGGGGGAACTATGTCGAAGCTGAGATGCACGGGCTAATCGCGCGAGGTTGGGCGGGGTATGGACACCCAGATCAAAGGGATCTGGGCTGGCATGCGAGCTTGTGGCAGATGCCATGGCTGCTGCCGAAGCCAGCGCAAAGCGCGGCTGGAATGATTAACGTGCAGTTGTTAGGCAAGTTGGTGGGAAATTGCGCTACTTTCTTAACAATTGCATGCCAAGAAAGTAAGAAAACAGGGGAAGGTGGGCCGATAACAGTATGTATGTATGTGAGATAAGATAAGATAATATTGTCTGACCAGGGTATAGGGTAGGTTTACCCGGGCACCCGGTTCCGACGTTGAGTTTACTATACGTGCCCATCCTCTCTGTATTTCGACGGCTGCAAACAAGAAACCGACCCATTTAGAGTATCTCTCCCGCAGAACTTGTACCGGTATATCAGCACCTCAATTACCACAACTGTAATAACATTTCGACGTTGGAATCTCATTTGTGCTACAACTTTGACCGTCTCCTACAGACCCTCCCAAATGTTCTCAAAATATTCATCGCCTTTTGTCACAGTAACTTCTGCCCAAACCCAACCAGCCTCTAGGCCGATGTACAAGCGACTTCAGAACACTCCCCCAGCTGCACTCAAAGCTCTGACTACTCGTCCCACAGACCCACGTAAAGTGGCAGAAATCGCTTCAACGGCTGTTGCCGACTCCCTGTTTTCCTCAATACCAAAGTATTGCGATCGCCTTGATTTCGTGACGACAACTTGGTCCCTGCCAATACCAATACGGAAGCCCGTCTCGTCCATATTCCAGATATCAGCCGGGTTAATCCCGTACGAGGCAATCGTCTCGTGGAGCTTCTTGAAGTACTCGGTAACGTGCGGGACTGATTCGGCAAGCCTTGCGTTGGTTATCGAGTACCTTTTGCTTCATAATATGATATCCCTTGCGTTTAATAAAACGGGATATCCAGTTTTGCCAACAAAGCATTGGGAGTCGAAGGGTTCGTTGCGGGTACCATCAGGGCCGACCGTGGAGCTTAGAACCCGATTTGCTGCATCGCGTAATAAGTCCTTCCGCACCGCAAGTCCTATACGCTCAAGACGATCGATATACAGATCGATTGAGTCCTCTTGAGCTGGCGATAGCCTCGTATGCGTTGCTTTATGGCCGCTGCGAGGTTGGATGCCGTGAAATCGCAAGCGGAGTCGTTCGCGTGGAACCCCAAATTCCTTAGCCGCAGCGCGAAGGGACATATTGGGATTTGCCTCAATGGCTTTAATAGCCTCGGCTACGCGCCTTTCAAGCGTAAGCTCTTTATTCTTCATAATGTGCCGTTGTTGAGGTCAAGATAGAGGCTTGAAGCGGTGAAGTGACACAGCCAGGTGGTTGACACAGACAGGTGGTGAGGACCCACTTTACGTGGGTCTGTGGGACGAGTACCTCAAACGAGCTCAAGGCCGATTCAGATACGAGACGAGAATGGCACGAGAAGGGGGACCAGAGCCAAAGGAAACGACTCGTCACACGCCACGATGATCTGTGCACTAGGGCGCAAGCCAATGGGGGCACTGGAAACGCTGATGAACAGGGGATATATCAGACAAGGTAGCCGGGGCCTTATGGCGCCTTCGATTTAACTGGCTGCAAGCACGGGCGGAGATGCCGTGCCTGACGCCTCGGAAGCCAGTCAAGCAAGCATCAATGCCGGAGGCCAGGGATCTTCGCAGCACCCCACGGTCCATCGTCGTTGTGCATTGGTGACGGAAGCTCTTTTCACTCGTCCAGACCACTTTAGCCAATGCAACGGAGATTGCGCCCCGACGGTTTCTTCTTCTTTCTTTTTCCCCTTCCCGCGTCTACACGCGCGTGGGACGCGTTATGCCTGCTTCGCCGAGCTTCGCTGCCACGATGTGGCATGAGTTGAGCGCCGGCGAAGCCTCGATGGCTTCTACCTTCATCTGTCGGCGCGCTCGCTCAATTCGCACGATCGAACCAACGTTACAATGACATCCGAACCACTGTCAAGCCCTTCCCCGTCGAACCGGTCAGATCTGATTGGGCGTGTGGAGCACTCGTCTTTACCACCCGCATCATCCCAAGGAACCTCGTTGCCGACGACTCCATCACCTCGTCCTCGCGGTACTGCTGTCGACTTTATACAAGTAGATTGGACGCTCTGGGGCCGCCAAGAGTGGGCGAAATGGCCTGGATTCGAGCGCTATACTGGCGGCCAGGATACGAGGGCGTGGTGGCAGCAATACGGGTATCGTGTTGAGGACCGGTCCACCTCGCGCCAGGGCAACAGGCTGAAGTGGATCTGCGCGGATTGCTTCGCCCGAGGCTTCAAGAAGAAGTCAGACTTCTGCTTCGTCTGCTCAACAGGAGCCGCTATCAAGAAGCACCTTCGTAACGCCCACGGAATTCTGGTAAGTGTGTGCCGTTCGGAGATATACCAGCAACATGAGTGTTCACTTGGCAGGCCCCAAACGACGTTGCCGGAGGCGTGCGAGCCTCATCTCTGGACGGCCGGCCCATCACCCACTTCATTGGTGCCGACTTCAATAATCCGCACGACCAGTTCCTTGTCAGCAAGCTGCGTGGAAGATTCAACAGCAAGGGGCTCCGGGTGCTCCTACTCGACTGGATCACGTACCATAATCTGCCATTCGATATCGTCAACACCGAGAGGTTCCAACGGCTCCTTCTCTACGGCAATCCGCTCCTTGATGCGACCCATATACCCTCTGGGAAGACGCTACTTCGCATGCTCGAATCTGAATACAGAGGTGCCGTCGGGCCCGTAATGGAAGTACTTCGCACCGCTCGATCACAGGTTCACTTCTCCTTCGACGGCTGGTCATCCAAGTCCTACACCGCATTTCTGGGCATCAATGCTCAATTCATTGATCACGACTTTGCCCAACACCGCATCCTCCTTGGGCTGCGACCTCTCTCGGCAAACACAACGGTGCGTCGCTTGCCGATGAGGTCGCCGATACACTGGCATTCTGGCAAGTCAACAACCCAGACACGGTCGGCTACTTCACACTGGACAATGCTGCAAACAATGACACCTGCATGGAAGACCTTGCCTTTGAGCATGGCTTCTCACCCGGAGAGCGACGGATCCGATGCGCTGCGCATATCATCAACCTCTGTGTACGGGCAATGCTGTACGGTTCGAAGCGAGAGAATTTTGCTGCAATTGTTGCTGCCGATGGGGACGATCTAGATGACGACGAGGAGCCAGTTGATCAAGCTATCGACGAGGCCCTAAATGGAGAGATGGAGGACGGTACGGACGAAGACCCAGGAGCAAACACTGCCGTTGAAATCCCAGATGAGGACCTCATATCGTCCCACCCGGCTCCGGAGGAGATCAATGCTGCCACCTTCAGGGAGTACAGTCAGAACGGCGCCCCTGGAATGCTCCATAACATCGGTCTTCAGCTGCGAAACACACAGCTGTACGAACAGTTTCTTCCGTCTCAACGCAAGGAATCCGGCCACGGAACAACACTTCACTGGGCCTTCAACAATGCCACCCGGTGGAACTCGGACATGCGTATGATGGAACGGGCTCTTCGACTCCGCCCGGCGCTCAATACCTTCTTCAATGACGTTCAGAACCGGTGGGAAACCGAGGGCCTCTGTGACAGAACGAAGCCGGCAGTTCTGCAATACCGCTTAAGTGCGTACGACTGGAAAGTTATCGGGGTACTTGTCAAGCTTCTGAAGCCTTTCGAGATTGCCAACAAGCAACTTCAGGGCAGCGGTGTTCCCGGTGGTAGGTCCACATGTGGCAGTTTCGATGAATACTTCCCTGTCTTTGAGATCTTACTTGACCACCTCGAAAGTGCTATCAAGGCACAATCTTCGAAGAGGTTGAGGATCCAGTGACCAGGGAGAAGAAGGACGTCGAAGTAGCCATTTATGACGGGCTCGATAGCAGGACCCGCAGGCTTCTCAAGGTCTATATCAAGCTCGGATGGAAGAAGCTGCATAAATATTACAGCCGGCTGACTAGCGCTGCATATGTCGGGGCTGTTGTCTTCAATCCTGCGAAAAGTGGCGCCTTCTCGATCAACTGTGGTCTCAGTACCCTCTCGGAAGACGAAGAGTTGGCGGTTGGAATACGAAGCAAAGCTCTTGGAGATCTGGGAGAAGTATAGGGAGCGCGACGTTGACAACGAGATCCTCGCTACGTCTGATGAGGCCTCCATGGATTACATTGAGCGGAGACTTGCTAGGACTGTAGCTGGTTCGCCATTCAACCAGGGCTCGTTCGGAGCGTCAGGTGCCCGCAAGAGTAACCGAAAGACGAAACCGTCTACGGCGGGAGCGACTGGTGATGACGAATATGCTCGATATTGTGCCGAGGACGTCGTCAACAGCCACCACTACAGAAGCAGACCGATTGACTGGTGGAAGATCAACCGGAGCCGATATCCGCGACTGTCTTTGATGGCAGTAGACATGCTTACGATTCCATCGACGTCCGCGGAAAGCGAGAGGACGTTTAGCAGTGCAGGACGTATGACGGCACCATTGCGAAGCCGGTTGCGGAGGGAGATCGTAGCGATGGCTCAATGCATTCGATCGTGGAGTAAAGCTGGGATCTACACGCCTTCACTGCCGCTGTTTAGCCTCAACGAAGATCAATGGGTTGATGCTCTTGCGTCGCTGAAGGGGCCGAGTGACATTTGACCAGTTTGTTAGGACAGCAATTGACCGTGCTTTCGACGTCTCATCTGCTGCAGCCATGATGTCTGTACACCCCTTGGCACTTCTTAAGTCGAGGGATGTAGTAGCCCTCGTGATGGTGGCAAAGACATGTCGGTGCAACGCACGTTTGATGCCCCGATCTCCGCTGAAGTCCCACGTTCGATCGAATTCGATACGAATTCGATCGAACCCTGGCATTCGATAGATATCGAATCTACGGGAGACGCGTTCGATTCGATGCGAATATACTGGAGACACATTCGATTCGAGGTCGAATCGAAGGCACAAGAATTTTCACGCGTTCGATTCGATGCGAATCTGCAGAGGCACTATTCGATTCGAACGCCAAGTCTTGGCGTTCGATTCGATAGATTCGTAAGATGTCCATCCCTGCGCGAAGGGACATCCAGGTTCGTTGAGAAGGCCCAATACCTTACGCTCCTTCTCGAGCTCAGTGTTTTGCCTCCATCTTAGAGCTTTTGCTGCCTCCCACTCCGGAGCTAGCTTGCTCAGAACATAGTGTGGAACCTTCCCGATAAGAAGGCGGAAAGCAGCTCGGTCCAACAGCCTTGGGACGTCAGCCCTGCTCCGATCCTCGTCTTCAGTGATTTTTTGAGTTAATTTCGGGCCTAGTTAAATAACCACCTCCTCCCACTAATCTGCCACCCAAAAGTGGGTCAATGTGGCGCACCTTTAAGGTAAAGGTGGCGTAACGCAAAAACCTCCCTGGCACACAAGGCACGCCGCGCAACGTCACACAGTCAACCGTAAGTGAAGCTTTTCGCGATATCTTAACAACGCCTTAATCGGTTGCAACGCCGTTATCACCGCCGCGCCGCCCCGTCACGACCGTGCCACCCACGTCACCGTACCACTCGCCGCTATGGAGTCCATGAGCACTGTGTTCTCTACCACCTACGAGTCCGAGGCCGAGGCTACTCGTGCCTGCAAGACCGTAGGCTGGGAGATAGGCTTTGGCCTTAGGCGCCGGAATTCGAAGCCTTCGGCTCGTGCGCCGACCTATGTGTTGCTCGTCTGCACGAAGTACGGCCCGTACGTTGATAACCACGACCCAGGCGTACACGAGTCGAAGAGCCGGCCGAACACATCGTCACAATGCACCGACTGCAAGTTCGCCCTTGGGCTTAAGAAGCAGCCTGGAGCGGGAGGCGGCTGGACTGTGCAGCCTACCGCGAAGTGCGAGCCTCACAATCATCCCTTTACTCCAGCTATCACACACAGCGGCTTCCGTGCCGAAGTCATCAGCCAACGCCGCAAGCATATAATACACTTATACAACTGCGGCCTCCGCCCATATCTCATCGCGGCACACCTTCGTGGCCTAGTCCACGAAGACCCTAGTCTCGGCGGCATACAGGGGGCACACATCGCGAACGCCCTCGCGGCACACCGGCGCGAGGAACTTGCCAATCGTACGCCCATACAATTCCTCTATGACCTTCTCAAAGACTCGTCCTTCGGCTTCTTTCGCGATGCACGTGACGGGGAGAATCGGCTAACTGCCCTCTTTGTGGCCCCGCGCTCTGGCATCAACCTTTGGCGTCAGTTCTGGCACGCCTTGCTGCTTGACTGTACGTATAAGACCAATAGGTTCAGGATGCCTGTCCTCAACTTCTGTGGCTCCACGTCAGAGAGGAAGACCTTCTCTATAGCCGCTACGTTCCTCACAGGAGAGACAGAGGGTCACTACCAGTGGGCCCTGCAGTGCCTCGTTGAGCTAGCTGTACAGGAAGGAATTCCTCTGCCGCGGGTGATAGTCACGGACCGGGAGCTTGCGCTTATGAATGCCCTCCTTTCTATCCCGGAGTTAGCTGCAGTGCTTCACCTACTGTGCCGCTGGCATATCAACAAGAATATCCTTGCGAAGACGAAGGCCCATTTCCCTGGTCCAACGAAGGAAGGCAACCGCACCGTCAGGGTCCCCGAATTCACAGCCTTCCTCCAAGACTGGGCCAGCTTCGTCAACGCCCCTGAAGATGACCTCTTTAACACACGGCTACAGGCGTTCAAGACCGCTGGGCACCCCCCGGCCGCTGTGGCATACGCTATAAATACGTGGCTAGACCCCTGGAAGGAAAAGTTCGTCTTGTGCTTCGTTGACCGGCATAGGCACCTTGGCCATAGGACTACTTCTATTATAGAAGGCATGCACTCTACGATGAAGAGGTTCCTCTGGTCCTCAACGGGCGACCTGACCTCTGTTTTCCAGCGCCTACAGGCCTTCTGGAGGCATCAGGCAGAGGAAATCTCAAGTCACCAGCAGGTCACAGGCCACAAGGTTGCAATAGCAGTGCTGCAGCCACTGTTCTCGAAAATCCGGCCCAATTTGGCTAGGTGGCCACTCCTACAGATAGGGGCTGAATGCCGTGCTGTGCCGAGGAACGTTGCCGCTACCGACGAAAAGGCGGAACCGCCTCCTGGCCGCTGTGATCGTCAGCATCACTGTGCCTTCAAGTCAACACTCGGCCTGCCGTGCCGTCATGATATCTTTGGCCGGCTTCAAGGCAGCGCCCGCGGCGGCGCCGGCGTTATACCCTTTGAGATGAGCGAGGTAGACGAATTCTGGCATCGACAGCGCCCACAGCGGCCCGACGATGTGCCACAAGAGCCGCTGCCTGTGCGTGGCAAGGGCCGGCCCAAGGGCTCATTGAACCTCGAGAAACCACCCGCCGCGATGCCTCCGAATTCGAGGTCGTTGAGGCTATTGAACGTGCCGAAGCATCGCCGCCTTCCACAGCGCCGGCCGCGCTGCCGGGCACGAAGAAATCCACTCGCAAGCGCAAGGCTGACGGCAAGGCCGCCGGCAAAGGCAGAGGCAGGCCAGCCGCTGCTGCTGCTATTGCTGCTACAACTTCCACCGCACGCGGCTTAGAATACCTTCGTCAACACGGCGATTCGTACGAGCCGGGCACAGCTGCGCCGAGAAGCTGGCAAGATAATAACTCTGACAATGAGCTTGCCGACGAGACCCAGGGCACAATCCACGTACGTATAACGCAGGCAACACAGCCGGCTTCACAGTGGACCTCACAGCGGGTCACGATGCCTTCACTTGGGGAAGAAGCAGAGGATGAAGACGACCCTTTGGCAGGCGACTGTGACTTTGATACGATGGAGCGGCTTGATGAGGCTAACGCCCTTGCGCTAAGGGAGATGGCGGAGGAATGCCCTTTATAGCCCTTGTAGTTATAGTGCTCTTGAATTGACGATGCGGGTCTAATGACTCCTAGAAAAGTGGAATTTCTATGTGTTCTGTGCATCGCGGCCGGCTTCACTTGCGTTGTGTGCCTTGGGCCTTGTGCCTTGGGTCTCGTTTGTGCACTGGGGCCGGCCGGACGTTGTGTGCGGCGATGCGCCACATTGACCCACTTTTGGGTGGCAGATTAGTGGGAGGAGGTGGTTATTTAACTAGGCCCTCAAGATTTTGATGAATGAATTGAATAAAGACTCATGATTTTTGATTCATCGAATTTGAAGACCTTACCCGATTCGGCTTCATTCAATTCAAGGGTCCCGAGGCCGATTCGACTTCAAAATCTTCAAATATCAGCCCTATCTACGGGATAGGCGTTCGATTCGATAGATTTGTATCCCTGTAAGTGGCGATAGTAACAATCCAACGAGCGACATATTGGTAAGCGTCAAGCGACTTCTATCAACGGTAGCTTCTGTTCCTTTGCAGGGCCAAAAAGGACAAGCTCCACAACTGCCGAATATTGCTCTCGGTGCCGCCACTGACACCCGGAGGCGGCTGCAGCCCGAGCGGCGAAATTTTGTATCCCTTCTGGCCCTGACTCGCCGATCCTAAGTATGTCCAGCTCCATACCTCCGACTGGAGCTGACCCTTGTTATCTCTATTACGTCCCACAGACGATTGTACGCGCTTCGCAATGCTGTATAAACGCCAACTTCCTTGCAGAAAGCCGGCATCTCCGTCCTGGACCGTGAAGTGTTGTGGGAGCTTGGGGCTGGGCAGCGATCGAGCTGCATCTCGAAGCCTTTGGCCATGAGCGCAAGATGCCAGCTCCAGACAACGGTCCCGTGATACGCGGAGTTGCTGAAGTTTGCCGCCAGCACACTGTCGCCGGAGAGTGCTGGGTTGGCCACTACCGCTCCAACGGGCGTGCTCAGACCAGCGGGGAAGGGACGTAGCA